ATAATACAATATCATCAGCATATTGTAAATGATTCAGATTGTGCCCGTTTATGTTAATTCCCAATCCATCCCAGTGTAGTCGTTTGAAAACATCTTCTAGCGCTTGGTTGAATAGCTTGGGCGAGATGGTATCTCCTTGTCTTACCCTCGGTTTATTTTAATAGGCTCCGTTTGTTTCATTAGCTTAATAGTTGTTGTTGCCTTGTTGTATATATTTGTAATTAACTCGGTATATTGGTAGCCTATTCTGCTGTTTTGTAGGCAATTCTGTACTGCCCAGTGTTTCAGACTATCAAATGCCTTCTCGAAGTCAATAAATGTCATGTATAGCGGGATATGATATTCGTTAGTTTTTTTCGATTAAAATCTTCATCGTTAAAAGGTGGTCACTTGTACTGAAGCTCTTTCTAAATCCGGCTTGTTCTCTTGCCTGGTATCCATCTAATTTAGTTGTTAATCTATTTGTTAATATTTTGGTTAATAGTTTGTACATCACACTAAATGTACCACCAATAAATTCATCCACCAATCAAAACTTTCCCCGTAAAAGAACACTTTTGTTTGTGAAAGGCCTTTTGTCAGGCCTTTTTGTTTATGAAAGTCCTTTTGTATTTTCAATAATACAAAAAAAATACAATATTTATTTTAAAAAGTGTAACTAACATGATTCATTTTGAGTTTTAAGGTCCTTAAAATGTATTCAAGTCTATGCTCCAACAAGTGACAAGTCAGACGAAGAAATCAAAAAATTTTATAACAACGTAAATGAAATAATGCGACTGACAAAAAGAGGTGAGATAACGATGATCATGTGTGACTTTGCTACGCTAAAATTGGTCGCGGTGCTGAAGGAGACCACGTAGGAGCATACGGTCCAGGTACCAGGAATAATAGAGGAGATAGACTTGTACAATTTTGCGTAGAAAACAATCTATTAATAGCCAATACCTTCATCAAATAACATCCTTGAAGGCTATACACATGGAAATCACCTGTATACAGAAAAGACAGAATTGTTAGAAATAAAATTTTGCTCAAAAATACCCTTAAGAAGTACATTAGCGATTACAATCCAGTTATAATGGATTTTAGATTAAAAAGATTTCTCAAAGTCAAAAAGAAAACAGTGATAAGAAAAATAGACATCTCACAACTGAAGAACCTTGAACAGAAAAAAGAAATAAGTAAAGTAAAATAAATAAATAAATAAAGTAAATATAAGGAAAAAATAAAAACGATCGAAAACCGGGTACAGACAGACATTGAAATAACATGGACTGCTTTAAAAACAAAAATAACAAAAATACAAGAAGAAGACATCGGGTAAGAACAAATACTTACCCTGTTAGGATAATATTATGAGTAGACTTTGGCAAATATGCAAATTGCATATTTTGCAAAAATGTCAAATTTTGCGTATTTTTATAAAAGTGAACATAAAGTGCATATAATTTGAAAATTTAGCGTTAACTATATATTTTTATATTCAAACTGACAGAGAGCATGAAAATGTCATATTTAATTTTATTTTATAATCACTTGGTATTCAAATTCTTGGTATATTAACTAATAAAACACAGAGCTTATAGGTAATCGAAACGTCAATATTCGTATTTTAAACTTTGATTGTGCCTTTGATTGTGCCTGAAGTATGAAATCTAGAGTTTAGGGGTCAATCCAAAAGTCCAAATATCTCTGTATCGGTTGAAAACCTAGTGATCAAACATTAAATTATAGTAGAACTCATACTAATCATATTTAAGTATTTAAATCACACTAAACAACAACAGTGTCGTTAAAGGTGGTTTGTCAACATGTTTTCACATGTTGATTTCATGTATTTAAAAGAGGTCCGTTTTAAAAAGTAGCAGTTACAAAATAACTGTTGCAAAATAAATAATAATAAATAAAGAGTCGAGGAAATATATTTTTTATTATTTTATTTTTTACTAAAACCGACTTTTTCCTTATTGGCTTTAAACAAAGCAACACACTTCACACTACTCTATTGAACAACCAGACATCGATTCAACTCCGAACAGAAGTTAAATTAAAAACACTATTATCAAAATAAAAGTTCTTTTGTGTAAAACTTCTCTTTGTTTGTCTGGATGTTTATTTGAAAAACATCAACCCTTATATTCTGCGATGCGTGTTATCTACAGGAAAATAAAAACAGTTTCGTTTTCAGGGAATCGTTCACAATGGTATGAAAACTGAAAATTGAAAAAAATGGGGGATTTGTCTAGATCATAATTGAATCTATTTAAAGCAGCTTCGCGCTGCTGTTGTCTATTTTTAAATGCTGAAAAATCCGATTTAGGTTTTAGGCATCGAGTGATTGATTACGAAATTATTTTAAAATGTCTAGTATGAAACAAAGAAAGATAATCTTTGTGGTGAAAATCAACAATTAAGCAAAAAAATAATCATTTCAGGAAAAAGTAAAAAAAAAAAACGAAAAACGTGGAAACAACAGAATTTAAAAAATATAAGTAAGAATAAAACGTATTTGTCAATGACTTTGACGTTGTCCGACGTTTTGCCTTCATTTTTTGCTCTTTTATAAGTCCAGTTCTTGTAGAAACTCATGCCTTTTGTCAGTTCATTATTTACTTAACGACTCTTATTTCTGATATGTACATCTTCTTCTTCCTCTTTATAAGCCATTCTGGTTATTAGATGTGGTTATTTACGGCTCGTCGGTGTTTTCACGTCTACGGCAGTAATTAGCGTCTCGAATATTTCTTTTGCGAATTATATGCAGTGCGTGAATGATTTTTTATTCCATATACCTGCGAACATATACGTACCTTTCGCTCGTGCTCGTTTTGTTGGATTGTTTGTGATGGCTTCATCATTAACGTCATCAAGTTTACACTGGTACTGTTGCGTACAGTCAGTAAGTCTGTCTATTCACCACGAGAGAATATTGTACTGAATGTTCACGATGCTCTGGTTTCTCAGAATCACACAAATACTGTTCGCAACATAGTCGAAAATTGTGCCAACATGACTGGCGTAGGGGAGTCAACTATATATAGGTTCCTATGAGAAAGAAAAGAACACGGTATAGCTAACCCAAACATAAACGAACACTTAAAGACAGCGAAAAAGCCTATTGTAATTGACGAATTTGCCAAAAATAGTAGTCGAAGGAAAATTCATGGATTTTTTTTCAAAAAAGAAATACCAAACCTAAACAAAATTTTACAACAAGTTAGAGACGACCCGGATTTGCCTCATATCGGACGAACTAAATTGTGGCAAGTTTTAAAAGAATTAAATTTCCAGTGGGAGAAATCAGACCGAAAATCACTTAATTATCTAAGATCCATACAAAAATTCCAAGTTGAAGGAAGGCCAATCTCTTACCAGGATGAAAAATTTGGTCAGATAAAAACATATTAGGCTCCAGGCAAGCCTTTATGGAAATTTGGTCTACTGGTATTTGCCCACTTTCTGGTAAAGGCAATGCATTTATAATTTTTCACATTGGCAGTAAAAAAGGATTTGTTAAGCATGGTTTGTTGGAATTTCAGTCCAAAAGCACAAAAAACTATCACGAGGAGATGGCAGCTGATGTTTTCGAAGAGTATTTTGAGCAGATGATTGAACACATACCACCAAATTCAATTATAGTATTAGATTATGCACCTTATCATTCACGACTAACAGAAAGACTTCCAAAGACTGCGTTGAAGAAACAGGATATTCTTGACTGGCTGTGGAATAAGTATCTGCCTTACGAAGATGAAATGGTAAAAGTAGAATTTTTAAAAATTGTCCGGCAACACAAATCTAAGTTCAAGAAATACGTAGTTGAGAAAATGGCGGAAAGGCGAAACATCACAGTCCTTAGACTTCCACCCTACCACTGCGAGATAAATCTAATTGAACTCATTTGGGCACAAATGAAAAGTTATATGGCTAGAAAAAATACGTCATATAAAACACAAGCTGTACGTGAATTGTTATACGAGTCTTTACAATATATTACAGAACAAAACTGGAAAGATGCAGTAAGACATGTAATAGAAGAAGAACAAATTGTCGTGGGATCTTGATAACATAATTGATGCGACCGTAGAGACACAACCGCTAATTATTATCCCTCAAGACGACTCGGATTCCGAAGTTGATCCTATTTATTTTAAATTTGAATAGTTTTCTTATCGTAATTATAGAAGGTAAGTAATAGTAGTTGTAATCGTAATTATTAAAGGAGAAAGGCGCAAAATGTCACCTGTCAAAATGTTCAATGTGTTTTAAATGTATCCATTTTTTTTTCAAGTCCTAAGAAAACTGAAAAGCATTTTTAAAAAATTTAAAGGCAGAACGAAATATTTATTAGAATGAATAAAAAGTCTCTTTTGCATGCAACATTTTCAATTAAAAATTATATTATATTTTCTCTTTTATTTTCACCCCTGTTACATAACAGGGTAGGTGACGTTTGGCGCCTTTTCCCTTAATTAAATAATTCCATCTTTTACAAATGGGAAGAAACTTTTTATTTTTGAATAAAATAAAGAAGTTTTATTAAAACAAAAATATAATTTACATAAGTACAATTTAAAAAATATATTTATTTAGTTAAAATAGATGTTTCAATTACATACTCTACGACACTGGTCGGTCATCTGTAACCAAAATACCTTCGTAATCGGATTATAAGGTTGACTGCTGTATTGTATTCCTTCAGATACAAGGTAGGTGAATCGAAAACATCTTAAATCGTCAGTTTTAGGTTGGTTTTTACTATTATATCGTATTACCTATCCTCTCTGTATTTCAGTTCTCTAATTAGGGTTAAACTTGTAGTGAGCTATCGACAAATTGTGAACCGATAATAGTAAGATATTTCCCTGTCCCTGTCATTTCTTTAATAACGGAACAATATGTAACATATATTTTGGAACTGCTATTTCTTAATGGTGTTTCTCTCCAATTAAAATAAAGTTGCAAGGAATTAAGGTAAAGATTAAAACCAGTTATTCTAGAAAAACTTTTATTAAACAAAATACCAAAATATTTCAAAAAATTCTAACAGTACAGTAATGTATCTTAGTGACTACCGAATATTTTTCTATTTGTAACCGTTTTGTAACTAAATTTAAATTGCTAAACACAAATTTGAAGCAATTAGTATATAACAGTTATTTTTTAAAAAGTATTGAAACGAAATTTTTAATTTTTTGTAAACTTAACTTTAACATTAAAATCGAAAGTAAAATTATCGAAGTACACAATTTCAATTTAAATAGAATTAACTAACCTACTAAAATCTATATATTCTCTAACGAGGGTAGTTTTGTTTTTCGCTTTAAGTTGTTTACCTAAACAAATTTCTTTCAATTTCTCCAACGTAATTTTTGGATCAAACATGATATTTGATTTGCGTTGTACTGGTTTTTCGTATACTTTGGCAGCTGCTGACGGAGAATATAGTTGACTGTCTCTAGAAAAATATTTGTTACTTAAAAAATAGAACATATTATACTATAACGAAAACAATATTTACACAGTTATTTATTGGTAGTTATTTAGTAAACGTTCTTTTGTAATTGTCACTTTCGAAGGAAATATTCTACCTTGATATTTTATTTGTATTTAAAATATTCACAAAGCACTTATTCTGACACGAACTCTGTTTCTTCTTTTTTCTTCTGCAGGAACTATTGGTCATGATACTATAACAAAACATGATAAGTCAACGTGCATGTTCTTGTGACGTAAGCCCGAGACAATATTAATGACGGCATTAAATTCTCATAAGTGTTCATGTTAATTATGTTGCTGTGTTAATCAAGTTTGCTATCTTGTATATTTCAAAACGTAGTGAATGATATTTTTATTTATTCATTGATGTAATAAAGACTTTGTATATTATATTGTTATATAAATTTTGTAGTGAAAACGTTCAGTTCATTTAATAAAATCCCCAAGCCCTAAAACGTCGCCTAAAATAGACGAAAAAGAAGAATGGAGAAAAGAAATGTATTAAAAAAAATGTAAGTATTTTGGTTTTAGACACACTTTAACAGCAGAGCAAATGTTTCTATAGATAATAATAAATGTTTGTATAGATAATACAAACATAACTAATGCCCATTTTAATAGAACTTGAAGTAATACTTTATTTTTGATAAGTCTTTAAAAAAAGTTACTCTCGATGTATGTAGTATGTAGTGAACTGGAACATATTTTCGTAGTTATAATGGCGACACATTAAAAATAACAAAAATTTATTTAAAAAAACTTAATAGAAGCTGCAAAATATGTAAATGATGTAAAGATGTAAAATTACTTTTTTTTAGATGTAAAATGTATTTTAAAGTACGAATTCTAAATCAAAATTTTAAAGATAATTACAATATCCGCAAAAGAAGAATCACAAAGATTTTAAAATAAATGTCTAAATGATATTCATAAAGTCTCAAGTATGACCCGCTTTTCCTTTATGGTCAAGTTCTTTACATTTTGCCGGCCTTTTATATTTAATTTATGTTTTGTAGCAATATTTATTTTGTTTGTAATACACGCAATCAAATAGTAGATTCATATACTTCTTTAATTAATTTTACAAATTATTTATTAATTTCCAAACCTTTTTTTTACAGAAAGTAAACTAGTTATGACTTCTTAGTGCAAGATATGGCATCGAGGTATACTTACCGTTAACAGTTTAAGTTTCGAAGTTGTTCATTACAGTAATGGAACAACGTTGTCATATGATGCATCGTTAAAATACGATACATACAAGTCACCTGGCTTTGTCTCGCCATGACGCCATGCGCAAAGTCGATTAAAATTAGAACGGCAAGTGAGCATATCTTGTTGTTATAGTATCATGCTATTGACGTACAAACCAAAAATTAAGCGTTAAATTTATGTCCAGGCGAATGAAATTATTTATAACAAAAAATAGATATACACCGCGTTATTTATTGATAATTATTTGGTAACTGTTACTTTTAAAAGACCTATATACCGAAATATTCTCTAGTTGTAGTAAACCAAAAGGAAATAGGGAAATAGACTTCATGCAAGCAATCTAATTAAACCAGCCTGAGAAACGTATCCACCCATTGAAATGACGTTCGAGTTAACAATTCAAGTCCTGATTAAAATTTTAAGTTTTTGATTTAAAAATGCAAGTGCTCCTATTTTCGTGCTGGTGAGTGTATTTTGTAACTGATGCTCTTCTTGCAAGTTCTTGAGCTCTTTTATTTTCATGTATTTCCCGGTCATCTGAAGCCTACACCATTGTGGCAGTGTATTGTTCCACTTAATTTGGGGATGGCACTTTTTGTTGTAACTTTTGATACCATAATATTGACTGATAAATACAGATTATTGTAGATCACGCTTAGAGGGCATAATCCCCTTTAAATTTCTTCTTTTGGTTAATTTTATCATTTAGAACTTTAAGAGGCTTATGTTAAGCCTTTTATTTGCAGCTCATTATGTACTACAGTCAAATCCTTTTGCATTATGTCTCTGATTGTTAGGGTATGATACTGATCTGGATGACCAAGTCATTCGCATTGCCCAGAACCACTATGGTTGTTGTGAAATGAGACTAGAAAGCAGCCCTTCTATGAACAGTTTCCACAAGAGATTAAATTCTGCCATACGATAGACTCCTAAGATCTGTGCTGATAGAGTATATCAATAACGTTGGCATACCACTGAATACCAATGGCGTATTTGACATGATCACGAGAAAGTGACAGAAAGTGATGAGTTTAAGATATAGTTGTAGTCATAAGTTAAAATATTTAATTTCGTATTGATCACTTAACGTAAAATATACATCCCACCACACTTAAAAAATATTTCAAAAGGTACTTACTCGTGACTAAGACCATATACATCCACGATGTACTGTTTTAGATCAAGAAGAAGCAACCATCCTTGAGCAGTAGACATACAAGCCTGTAGCTGGCTTGTATCCTTTGGCAGACGACTTAAGATAGTTTTTTCATCCTCCTCTTCTTCATCAATATCAACACCGGTGAGATCATCCGTTCTCTCATCAGAATTTTTATTTTTTGTTTGTTTCTTGACAGAATTTAGTCCCTATAATAAATGTTAGTATTTAACACAACCAATATAGACGCTTATGAAGACGATGTCGTTCGTTTCAAATGTAAATAAACAAGGTTTGTAACCCGGTCAACCGAGGAAGCTGATAATCAAATTTTTTGCGTAATTCATACAAATTTCTGACAAGGGCTGTAAAAACAAGTTTTAGTTAAATGGTTGAAGTAATTGAATATTATTTTTACTTTCGGTTATTAAGTTTTATTTTTAAATCGCACTATTTTTAAACTACAATACAAAAAAAAAAAGAAATTCATAGGTGTATCTTCTTCTTTTTTTCGTTAGCAATTTTTTATTTTTTAATATATACCTCTCCCATTGCTCCTCTGGTTTCTATATTCTGGTTTCTTCTTCAAGTGCCATCTCCGCGGCGGAGGTCGGCAATCATCATAGCTATTCGGACTGTTGAGACGACTGCTCTAAAAAGTCTGAAAAACCAATTTAGTCTCACTGTTTTTTTCCACGGTTTCTATCTACTCACATTTTCACTTCAGCTGTCCTGACTTCTAGCTACATGCCTGGGCAATAAAAAGACAAAAAACCAACACAGACAATGAAAAGACAAAAAAAACTAACATGGGGCAAGAGCTAGGGGAAACAGATGCACAATTGAATTAGAGAACGATAATGAAAATGTATAAAGTTTCACATATCTGCAAGTTACATTACACACGGATGGAACAGAAGACCCAGAAATTCTAAGAAGAATAGTAAATGGAAACATAGCTTACTTTTCACTCGTCCAGGTATTCCGCTCCAAAAACACACACTGGAGATCAAAAATCAGCGCCCACAAAACTACTATCAGAGAAATAGTATGTTATGGATGCGATATATGGGTGATGACAGAAGACACAAAACAAAAGCTAGAAGTCTTTGAAAGAAAAGTTCTAAGAAAGATATTTGCACCTATTAACGAAAACGGAGTATGGAGATCCAAGTACAACCATGAATTTTACCAACTGTTCAAAGAGACATCGATCTCAAAATTCGTTACACTTCAGAGACTTAGATTGGCTAATAACGTAGTGAGAATGGAGACTGAAAGATAGCCAAAAAGAGCCTTAGAGTAAAATGCAATGCGCAATGTGATTTTTCTATATACACAAGATTCTTGTTTGTATGGTATAAAAACTATTGGTAATATTGAACTTTTCTTCTTCTGAAAAGTTGTACCGATCGGTTACCTCTTTTATTTCGTTAGCCAAGAACAAACTACCCCACTAAATCGTCCAAGGATAATATTTTAACTTTCGTCGTAAAATCTCCCATATTAATCGTTTTCTCGTGTTTTCTCGTGTTTCGTTGTAATTTACACAATATTATTAGTCGGACAAATAATTTCTCGGCATATATCTGAATCAGATTTATATTAGTATGATGTCCTCTAACCTTTAGCAACATGATTCTGTGAGATTGCTGTATGCAAAACACCAAATATTAAATTCAAGAAAGCGATAGCAGCTTTTGCGAAAAGTTTTATTTTTTTACACATTTCGTATAGCGCAGAGGATACAGAAAACGATATTATCATATCGTTTTCATTCACGGCCGCCAAAGCAGGTGGGGCCTTTGTACGCTAACTACTATTGTAGCGAAGTTTTGGGAGACATTCGTTGGACTTTCCGAGTTTGAATTTGTATCAGCCCGAGTGTCTGATGAGGCTGGGATGATAGTGTCTGATAGCCGAAATGATCATAACACTTTATTGATACCACCAATTCGAACACGGTATTATATATATATATATATATATATATATATATATATATATATATATATATATAGTGTATATAACGACGCTAGTAGTTTTTGTGTCATTTTTATAAATACGATAAAAGATTCCGAGACACATGTTTGTTTGTTTTGATAAAAAACCTATATAAGTTGATGATCCAATGTGAAAATATGTGCTGTTAATAACTTTTCCTGTAGAGATTACTGGATATTTCTTGAATGTCATTTTGTAGATTTCGTCCCAAACTCGGAAGGAAAAAGGACAAATAAGAAGTGACAATCGGAGATTTTGGAATCGAAGTAAGAAGCGAAAGAGGCGAAATGCTTACCAACTTTCTACTGCAACACAAACTGTATGCAATGTACACCTTTTTTAAGAAAAAACAAAATAAAAAAAATGGACGTGGGCTAGTCCAGACGGAAGAACTAAGAGCGAATATGATTATATAATAACAGACAAAAAGCAAATTATTCATGTCACTGTACTCAATAAACTATCATTAGGAAGCGACCACAGACCAGTAAGAGCTAGAGTAACGATACATCTACAAAAAGAAAGAGAAAAGATGATAAATAGTTGCAAACGCATAGTTTGGAATTCACCAAATCATTCAAAAGCATGCAAAAAAAATATAGCCGAAACTTTACAGAGTAATAATCCCAAACCTCTAAGTATCGACGATCACAATAAAGTAATAACAAACTCGGTTAGAAACGCACAACTCAAATTTTGTAAGAAAAATGACACTAATAGTCAAAAGATTAGCAAAAATACAAAAGCTCTCATATAAATACGACGAAACCTAAGAGAGAACGAAAAGGGAAACAAAGAAGAATATAAAAAACCGAATAAAAGAATTTCAGCGGAAATTAGAAAAGATGTAAGAAGACGTAATACTAATGTAATTACTCAAACAGTAGAAGAGAACAAAGGTTTAAAGATAATGAAAAGAAAACTCATACAAAGTAAAAAAGAAATATACAAGCTGAGAGATAAAGACGGAAAGGCAACAACAGATAAACAAAACATTCTGAAAATAACCAGAGAGTTTTATAAAGACCTCTATACCAGCGAAAGACCACAAGACAATTTCCCGACACGAGTAAAGACTCTCATAAATCAGGGATCGGAAATACTTTTACCTATTACTGTGTCAGAAGTAAGAGCAGCTTTAAAGAAAATGAAGAACCATCGATCGCCTGGTGATGATGGACTCGTTATCGAGGCAATAAAATCAAGAGGAGAAATTTTATTAAAATCAGTAAGCGAACTGATTAATAAATGCTTACATGCGCGTACGATTCCAAAAGACTGGAACAATCCAGTAATAGTCTTGTAACACAAAAAGGCGATATTACTAAATTAGAAAATTATAGACCCATCAGCCTCTTGACACATATGTACAAACTCTTTATGAAAATCTTAACAAAGAGGCTAACACCTAAACTTGATTTCTATCAGCCCAAAGAACAGGCAAGCTTCATGGTAGGATATGGCATAAATGACCATATGCATACCATAAAGATCTTAATAGAAAAGTGCATCGAGTACAACATACCACTGGTTCTTGCCTTTGTCGATTACGAGAAGGCTTTTGATTCTGTAGAGTTTGAAACAATACTGGAAGCCCTAAATCAAAGCCGAATAGATTACAGGTACACGACACTAATGAAAAACATCTACGAGAACGCTACATCAAGTATACGATTACACGAAGATACAGAAAAATTCAGCTTAGGTCGAGGAGTTAGACAAGGGGACAATATTTCACCAACATAGTTCACGGCAGCTCTAGAGTCAATATTTAAGAGCACTCAATGGCAAGATATGGGCATCAATATAGATGAAGAAAGATTAAATCACCTAAGATTTGCAGATGATGTTGTATTAATCGCAGATAACTTACATAATACAGTTTCTATGATGCATTCGCTTAAAAGTCTGTCTGAAAGAGCAGGATTAACGATAAACTTCAAGAAAACTAAACTTATAACAAATCTCGTAATGAGTGGAAATATAACTATTGACAATAATACCATACAACAAACAGACACTTACAAATATCTGGGACACGAAATCAAAATAAGCAGAGACAATCAAACACATGAAATACAGAGGCGAATAGGCCTAACATGGGCAGCATTTGGCAAATTTGGCTTATATTCTAAAAAGTTCAATTACGATGTGTCTCAAGCGAAAGGTTTATAACCAATGTGTTTTACCGGTACAAACTTATGGAGCAAGACTTTAACACTCACGCAAAAATCTGCGAATAAACTCAGAGTTACACAACGAGTCATGGAACGTGTAATGCTGAACGTGAGCCTTCGAGACCACATAACAAACCAATAAATCAGACAACGATCATGAGTTCAAGACGTCATCGAAAGAACCACGTCGCTTAAGTGGAACTGGGCAGGACACTTAGCCAGAACACAAGATGGACGGTAGACAAGACGTATTATGGCATGGAGGCCCAGAAACTTTAAAAGAAGCCGATAACGACCACCGACTAGATGGACCGATGATATAAAACGTGTAGCGGGAAACTGGCTACAAGCGGCCCAGTGTAGAGAACACTGGAAAGAACTGAGGGAGGCCTATGTCCAGCAGTGGACGCGATTGGCTGATTGATGAAGGTGTTTTATATGCATATAAGGCAGGTACATTATCTCTAGTTTTTTTGTAATCGGTAAAAGGTTTTTGTTAAATAAAGCAGGATTAAGTAATGGTTAATAATATTTAAAATAAAGCAATTTTTAAAATTTAAGAGCGGGGGGGGAAAATAAGTTTAAAGGAGGATTTCGATAAGAGAAGGAAAAATTAAATTTATACATACTCCTTTCTAACAATTTGTATTTTCAACATCTATATATAAGTGTAGTACCTACATATGGATCGGTTATTTTGATTAGTATTAGGACGCTTCTGGTTCTATTTATTTGTAAGTACCTCAACATTCATATAAAATGTTTACTAAATACTTTTTCAAGCATTCGTTGTAACTTATACACAAGCATTTCGTTAACAGTAAGTTACAAAATCATCTAAATACTTAAAAAGAAGAGAGTTATAATACTTACGTTCTTAAAGTTTTGCACCAAGTTCGTTCCGAAGAGTACGATCTTAATATCAATATAGTGAACCAAAAATAAGGGTTCATCTTGTACTTGGTAGGGAAAATAAGCCATATTATCAGCTAGATAAATCATGTACGATAAGGCAAGTTCCTAAAACATACACAGTAAACATGTTGATGAATTTAATGAATAATTTTTAAATTAAATTACTCACTGTAGGTTCCTCGAACTCTTTCAAACTAAATAGTATTAAGGCTCGTCTCTGCTGTCTGGAACCTCTCAGTAGTGAATAAAGATGTCCGTTTAAAGCTACAGGATATTCTTCTTTCTCTTTCACCTTGAAACCTCTTACAACTTTTTCTTGTTTCAAAATTTTCTGCAGTTGAAACGACAATTGAATACCCAAAGTTGATCCCGTGTGTATCAATCCTGGATATCTATTTTCAATTTCGTTTAAGCTTTTATCTGCATTAAGGGCCACCATCTGTTCACAGTCTGTACTCATACAGATCAAATAGGGAACAATGTGTATAGGGTGCACTAAACCTTGTCGTAAAATCATATGTACAACTCTGAAAACAGCTTGACGAATCTGCAGGCTATCGTGTACGTAGCAGTTGAGGATTACTTTGAGATAATACTGAATGACCATGCTGGCTATACCTGATGAGACATCATCCATTTGCTTCAAGTCTGTTTTCTTGGATATTTTGTGCCCTGAAAATAAGTTGTAACAAATATTTACAAGCCAATTCAACGCAACTGGATCAAAATTGATATGAAGGTATTACGTACAATTTTTATTGTCTTCTATCAACCTAATGTCCTCCTCTTTCAAAAAGTTTTCGATATTGTTTAATATCTCAACCCTTATAAGTAATGAAGCTTCTTTGGAAGCTAGTTGTTCATAATAAAATGTTTTCAGTAGTTGGTTTTCCCACAAAAACTGGTAATATCTGCTACAAATAATACCAATTGCTTTCAGTGTATTCACCTGTATATCAATACTATCTTTTTGGAGAAAACATAACATGGTTCGGTAAACTTGGTCCGTGGTATCAGGCTAAAAGTTTATAAAGAAGAATATATAATAGGTATACCAGAAATTAGTGACTATAGAGAAAAAGTGCTTTAAGAAAAGGCTGTTTGTGTGAAAAACCTTGTTAATAAACGTCACTAATTCGTCATTATCCTTGTTAATAAACATCTAACTTATGAAAACCAAGTTATTACTTTACCAATATAAAAAACAGTTCAACAACAAACAATTCTAAACTTGCAACGAATAATTGTATAAAAATCTAGCAATTTAACACAAGTAAACTTACTCGGGGCTCTTCAAAATCTCTTAAACGCACTAAGTAGATACAAAATTGACATAACTGCCATACAAGAAATGAGGTGGATTGGAAACAATATTATGGAAAAAAAGACATTTTCTACAGCTGCGCTCCTAAAGATCACATTTTGGGCACTGGATACATAGTTAACAAGAGAGTAAGACATATAATAAAAGACTTCAGAGCCATCAGTCCCAAAATGTGTATTTTAAGAATTAAAGGACGTTTCTTCAACTACAGCCTAATTAATGCGCATGCCCCCACAGAAGAAAAAGAAGAGGAAGTCAAAGAAGAGTTTTATGATGAATTAGAGTCCGCATACCAGTCATGCCCAAAAAGTGATATAAAAATAATTTATGGAGACTTAAACGCAAAAGTTGGAAGAGAGCAGCAATTCCAACCCACAATAGGTAAGCACAGTCTCCATGAGCAATCAAATGACAATGGCAATAGGTTGGTAAACCTAGCAAGATCACTTAACATGGTGATTGCCAGCACATACTTCGCTCGAAAAGATATACACAAAGGCACCTGGAAATGACCAGACGGACTTGTGATAGATCTTGTGATGTGACAGTGAATATGATAGATCATGTTATTGTAGACTCAAGACACCAATCGAATATAATAAACGTCCGTACCAGAAGAGGGGCAAATGTGGATTCTAATCACTACCTGGTCGAAAGTAGGATAAGGGCTAGAATTTCAAACATCAAAAAGGAAAGAGGCTCTAAACATGAACGATACAATATAGAAAGACTCAAAGAAACAAACAAAAATAGAGAGTACAAAGAAAATATAAGCATCAAACTAGAAAACAGACCAAAACATGAAAACCTAAATAAGGAGTGGGAAGAGTGCAGAGAAATCATAAAAGAAACAGCTAAAGAGGTGTTGGGCATGGAAGGTAAAGAAATAAGAACAAGAACGAATCACTGGTTTGACGAAGAATGTCAAACTATAACAGAAAGAAAAAACAGAGCATATCTACAGATGCAACAGAGGCACAGAACCCGACAAGCAGAGGAAGAATATAAACAACTACGTAAAGAGGAAAAGAAAATTCACCGAAGAAAGAAGAGAGAATATATCAACAAAGAACTTCAAGAACTACAAGAATTAAGTAAACCAACAGAGACAAGAAAATTTTACCAGAAACTCAACAAAAGCAGAAAAGAGTTCAAACCGAGAACAACGATGTGTTAAGATAAGGAGGGTAATATGTTGACAGAACAGCAAGAGATACTTAGAAGATGGACAGAGCATTTTAAGGAAAAGCTTGGGGTGAATATGACGGAGATGAACCCTGATATACCATTAGACCAAGGAGACAACAGAGAAAAGAGTCCACCAACAATAGCAGAGATTAGAACAGCAGTGGACAAATTAAGGAACAATAAATCACCGGGATCGGATCAAATATCATCGGAGATACTGAAAGAAGGAGGAGACGCATTACTTAAAGCCATACATGAGCTGATAAGAAAGATATGGTTGAATAAACAGCTACCAAAGGAGTGGAATAGCGGCATTATTGTACCACTACATAAAAAAGGAAACCAGTTAGAATGTGAAAACTACCGTGGAATCATGCTGTTGAATGCGGCATACAAAATAATGTCCAACGTAATGTATGAAAGACTTAGACCATATGCTGAAAAAATAGTTGGCAAATACCAATGTGGCTTCTGTAGACAGAAGTCAACAATAGACCAGATATTTGTTCTGCGACAGATCCTTGAAAAAACAAGTAAATATAACATCGACACACATCATCTCTTCATAGACTTCGAAAGCGCGTATGACAATATAAACCGAGAATTCCTAACAAAAGCAATGAAAGAATTTAATATACCAACACAGCTAATAGAATTAGTAAAAGAAACACTAAAAGTAGAAAGTAAAATCCGGATACAAAACGAATTAACGGAAACAATAGATGTGAAGAAGGGACTACGCCAGGGAGACGCTCTATCATGCATATTATTCAACATCATACTTGAAAAAATAATAAGAGACACAACAGTTAATACCCGAGGAACAATAATTAATAAAAGCGTGCAAGTACTAGCATTTGCAGATGATGTTGACATAATCGCAAGATCAAGAAAAGAAATGATAGAGGCATTCACTCAAATAGAACGAGCTGCAAAAAATAGTGGTCTTAAAATCAATCACACAAAAACAAAATATATGCCTGCAAATAAAAACGCACAAATAAAGCAGCTGCCAAATTTAACAATAGGAGAATACAACATTGAGGCGGTAAAAAACTTTACATACTTAGGATCCCTAGTTACGTCTGATAACAACGTTGCAGAGGAAGTGAAGAGGAGAATATTTATTGCCAATAAATGTTACCATGGCTTAATTAGGCAACTAAGATCAGATAACGTCTCCAGAAAAACAAAATGCCAAATATACAAAACCTTAATAAGACCGGTACTCACCACATACGGTTCAGAAACCTGGACACTCTCTAAAAGGGAGGAAACGTTATTGGCCACCTTTGAAAGAAAAATCTTGCGACACATATATAAGGGCACAAAGGAAAACGGGATTTGGCGGAGAAGGTATAACTTTGAACTATACAACATATACCAGGATCCGGATATCATAACATTCATTAAAATAGGAAGGCTACGTTGGATTGGACATGTGGAAAGAATGGAAGAAGGCGAAATACCAAACAAAATATTCAAACAAGTGCCAGTAGGAAAAAGAACAAGAGGAAGACCGAAGCTGAGATACGTAGAACAAATAGAAAATGATATAACATTAAAAATTAAAAACTGGAAAAAAAAGCACGAAACAGGTCAGAATGGAGAAGATGATGATGATGATGAAACTTACTCGTATGTAAGCAACAATATAATGGATATAACTTTGTAGTTTACCACGTGGGACGGCTTTTGGCCGCAAAGCACTACGATCACCCGAGCAAATTTTAAGAACAAGATAGTAGTACATGACGAGTAGTTTTCGGATGTAGCCCCATCGCACCGATGTCGCTTAACTCTTACAGTTGTTGGTGTTTCCTTCTCGTTTGATTTATACCTACCGCATTTAGTTGAAGTTGTCGAAACGATTCAGCTTTAATTTATCACGTCCTCTGCTGGACATTGGCCTCCCTTAAACGCCTTCATTATTTACGATTTTGTGCTCTTTGTTGCCAATTTTCAAGGTAGCAGGTAGATACATTTTACGATCCCGGTGAAGTTAGGTCTACTTCAGGATCGCGACCCTGCCTATGCGAGCCGTGGCTCACTCTCAATCCCTTTAACCGAGAGGGTACCACGTCCCAACCTATCATCCTTGTCGATGACGCCAAATTCCCTAACCCATCCTACAATCCTTCTACCAACCCGCACAGGCCAGCGTGGTAGAGAAACGGCCAGGAACCCCGTAAAATGAGAAAGGAAGAAAATGCAAGGCCCTCAGTCTCCGGCAGTCCCTTGAAAACAGGCTATGGTAGCAGTCCTGTAGTTAGAGGGACAGAGGGTGCTAAGAATCACCGGAGTCAACCAGGCTACCTTCATAAACGACAACGGCAAAGAATATGGTTTATGGCAACATACAACACAAGAACATTGATGGAGGACGAAAAACTAGTTGAACTGGAAAACGAGCTGAATCATATAAAATGGGATATACTTGGATTGTCCGAAGTACGGCGAAAGGGTGAAGAACAAATGGTACTTCCGTCGGGAAACCTATTGCATTATCGAGGAGAGTCTTCCAATGGTGGCGTAGGATTTATGGTAAATAAAAAACACACAAAGAATATACTCACAATTAAAAGCATAAGTGATAGAGTTATATATCTTATCTACAAAGTAAACGAAAAAATTCGGTTAAAGATCATCCAGGTATATGCACCTACTAGTACCCATACAGATGAAGAAGTAGAATGGTTCTACGATGACATTAACACTGCCATACAAGAGACAAACACCAATGGGAGACTGATGGGAGACCTAAATGCCAAAATAGACCACAAGCAAGATGATTCGGAGTTTGTAATTGGACCTCACGGATATGGCGATAGAAACGAAAGGGGTCAAACTCTCATAGAATTTCTTCTGCAACACAGGCTATATGTCATGGATACGCACTTTAAAAAAAGCGACCAAAGAAAGTGGACTTGGCAATCACCAAATGGTTTAAACAAGAACGAAATTGATTTTATATTTACTAACAAAAAAGACGCTGTTCAAGACGTAACTGTATTAAAGCAATTTTCAACTGGAAGTGACCATAGAATGGTTAGGGCGAAGATAGTCTTAAACATACAGAAGGAAAGAAGACATATGGTAACAAGGACTAGTGACAAGACATATGGTGACAGGACTACTTGTCCTTCTTCGCAGATCTTTTTTTCACGTTTCTTATTCGGTTCCACAACATCACTCCCAGCATAGACCGTGCCATTCGTCTCTGTGCCACTCTCAATTTCGAAGCCGTAGTCTTGGTTATTCATAGTTTCCGCCCCATAGGTCATGACTGGTAATACGCATTGGTCAAATACTTTTCTTTTGAGGCTAATTGATATGTCGGCCCTAAGAGTGTCTCGTGGTTTTCCAAAGGCTGTCTACGCTAAAGTAATCCGTCTTTTAATTTCGCATGTTTGGTTATCGCTGCCGATTCTTATTTCATGACCCAAATACATATATTTCTCCACCAGTTCTACCACTTTGTCTTGAATAGTTAAATGGTTATTGGAAACCATATTTGTCATAAACTTAGCTTTGATCAAGTTTATTCTGAGGCCCACTTTCGAACATGCAAAGTCCAATTCATGTAACATATATGTGGCTTCTCCTAAATTATCTGTGACAAGGACAATGTAATTTGCGAAACAGAGTTGGTTAAGCTTCTCGCCGTCTATTGTTACTCCTCTGTGGTCTCAATTGACCATCTTAAAGGCATACTCTAATGCCGTTATCAATAATTTCGGTAAAAATGTATCTCCTTACCTTATCCCAAATTTTATTTTTAATTGTCGGGTTTAATCGTGTATCTTAACAGGCATAGTGGCATTTTTGTAAATAGTGATCCATTGGACAAGAGGTTTGTTGTATTCTACAGATTCTTCAATGAGTGTCTTTATTGTATGGATGTGATGAAAAAGCAACAAAGGCCATTCACGTTGATGAATGGAGACATAAAGCCAACCGTATTGATGTAGGAATATATAGGAACGGAATTACAATGGAAAATAATTTTAAAATTAAAGTCTTAAATTAAAATAAAAATTAAACAATTAATATATAATATATTATAAAGTAGCAAAGAATCAAAGACAAAGATTTGGGACAGACTTCTGGGAAGTAGCATTTATGAGATTTCGCTCTTCCTTTGAAAACCGTGGATATATCCAAAATTATATACACCCCCTCTACAATTATTTAATATGTATGGAGCACATATTATGAAAAGAAAACCAAGCCAAATATTTGGCCCAGAGTTATAAATTACAATAATAATAATAATAATAATAGTTCCTAGATAATATAAAAATCATTCACACATAATCAATATTAAACAGTTTGACGTTCTAAACTTATCATTGATCATTGTCAAGATCATTGATCACAAAAAAACAGGCACGTTCTGGTTATGGTTATGGTGGATCGGGCGGGACCCATTTATGAGGCCTTTAGACACCTAGACCTCCTAAGACGGGTTCATTGTATTGCCCCTATCAAACAAAATGGGCTCATAAGGATCTATTCTTCGGCGTTTCTGGAGCCCAGGCTGTCCGGGCCCCCATATCTGCAGAAATCAGTAAGAACTTCAAGTCTGAGCCCTTCCTATCATTTTGAACGTCTAATCCTTTTGTAGCCTTGTGGCCTCTCAGAAAGCCATAAGTCACTTTAAGCATAACTGTCTCATTTGGCTCGGTTGTATAAAGATCCAACCCAGGATCTGCCGCCTCCGGTAGACCAGTGCCGGGTACTTCCAGAGGACATGTGAGGAGGTTTCTTTCTCCTCATTATAAAGACAGCACCGTGATATCCACCAATCCAAGCAGATAAAGGTGCCGCCTAAGTCTATACTGACCACCAGAGAGCACCTTCTACAGTCTAGAAGCAGAAATTGGGCTTTTGGATAGGCCTACTAGTGGAGCCTAGCCTGCCTCATACCTCTACCACTGGTTCCAGGAATTCTGGAACCTCCGCAAAAGAGGCTCTCTGAGACTACCTTGACCAGTACTAAAGAGCACTCCAATCAAAGGTTCGGGTCCCACCGGCAGAGTGAATGAGCCCTTCCGTACAAGTGCGTCAGTCCATTCGTTTCCTTCCAAGCCTGTGTGTCCCGGTACCCATATCAAGTTAACCCTATTAGTCCGAGCAACATCAGCAAGTGCTCTCTTGCACTCAAGAACCAGCTTAGAGCTGACTTTGGGCACTTCCAAAGTCTATAGCGCTGCTTGACTGTCAAAGCAGATAGAGATGATCCTTCCTGAGCAAGGCCTATCTATTATCTCCTGAGCACATACCAGGATTGCAAAGATCTCAGCCTGAAAGATTGATCTAATTTGGACCCATCCGTGAACCAAGTGAGGCCGCTTCGACGAATCAGTGCAGACTCTCGTTCCATCCACTCATCCCGGTGAGGAAATTAAACCAAGAAGGAAGATGAGAACTCAATGGGGAGCCATGCTGTTCTGTAACATAAAGAGCACAGGACAAAAATCGGGGGCCCGTTTTTAGATGTCAGAAGGGCTTATCCGAGCATTAATTTCCAACCAGTATCCAGAGCAATTAAGACAATATGCTGTAATCATGACTTCGTGCTCTACAATAAAATGTTGAGAAGGTAAATTCAGCAAAGCCTCAAAAGTCTTTATGGGAGTGGTCCTCGTGGCTCCTGAGATGCCAATTCCTGCCAACCGCTGGAAGTGAGTCAGCTAGACCGTAGCTGACAGCTAATTAATAGTACAGATCTACTCTAGAAGATAAAAGATAGAAATATGACCAAAATTTGCAAAGGCCTCAAATTTTAAAAACTCAAACACTAAGATTAGTCAAGAGTTTAATATTCCTTATAATTAGATACATTATACGAATCTTAAACACTAACACAATCGGAAAAGGAAAAGCTAGACAACATAATAATGGTTTTAATGGAGAAGATTGACCAGTTTTCAGGAATCTATAAAAGATTTATATATATTTTTTTTTGAACCTATTCTCTATCCTTCCATTGTTGGATATAGGTCTCCCCCAGTTCTCTCCATCTTTCCCTATGTTGAGCTGTTCTCTGCCATGTGGGACCTCCTTGTTTCCTGATCTCATCTTTCCACCTCATCTGTGGTCTGCCTCTTGATCTCTTTGCATTGTATGGACGTCACTTTCCGATGGCATTGTTCCATCGTCCGTCTTGGAGACGTTCATTATATCCAGCCCATTTCCATTTCAGTTTTGCTGCTTGTTCTATCGCGTCTTCTGTCTTTGTTATGGTTCTGATCCACTGTTTACGTTTTCTATCTCTAAGAAAGATTTATACATGAATTAATAAAAAGTAGGACAGGTAGCATTCGGGTTAAGGATACGTTAGAAGAAAGTGTGTTTTATTAAAACAGTTTTACTGTCAGAGTCGCGATTAAGACTATTGAGGAACAAGAATATTTTACAGAAAGATGGTCTAACTTACATTTTTCCGTAGCATATTATATAGACGATTTAGCCATAACGTTTGGAGCACAGATGAGAATACCATGACACTCGCGCAACACTTCGTTAATAACTCTCACATCTCCGCCAAACGCTCATCGTTAAATCTTAGCAAACATCGCACTGTTTGTAGGATTATAAAAAATATCGGATTGCACTTTTATCGTCCCAATTTGCTGCAGGAGCTGAAACCGTCTTTCTGCGTATGGTTTGAACAGGAATCAATTAACGAGGAATTGTTGGCCCCTTTTTTTCACAAGGTAATTTAAAAAAGGTATTTGGAGCTTTTACAAGACTTAAGTGTAATTGTCGAAGATCACAGCATTTTCCTAGATGGCTCAATAGAAGTGGAAACGAACCGTAGCCTCCAAGGTAGCCAGACATTACTCCTACGAATTTTTAATCTGTAGCATGCTTAAAAACATTTCATGCATATGATCGAAAAACGGTATTTGAAATGTATTGAGATAAATCGTTAACATTTTAAACACTTATTGTCCAATTACAAATTAGTTCATACATTTGTAATCCCACATTAATCTTAATTTCTCGAATTTGTATATTTGTATTTGTTTCACTATGTATAATTCTAAAACTTATTAATTAGTAGCTTAATTATAGTTTGTTCAACTTCCTGCAAACTATATATTGCCTAATATGTATTGAGGAATGCTAGCAATCATTTCCCCGGTCCAAATTATATTTGCCAGCTTGCAAAAGTCAAAGGTTTTTGTTCTATTCAGAAGACAATACACGTATTTGAAGAATCGTATCATTTTAGTGAGATTATAAATATAGCTTCGAGACTAATTTGGGACGCTGTCTATAATAATTTTTTACCTTAACAACAACTATAATGTAATAATTCAGTAACTGTCAATAAAACTATATTTTACTTCACGACTTCAACAATTTAGTTTATTATCGTCGATCAAGAATAATCGGACACAGGGAATTAGAAACAATTTGAAATTATAATTACATTCAAATTTGTCCACTTATTGTACTTATTGTACCAGATTGTACTTGTTGTACCAGATAACGTATGCCCATTCTTGTACTTTAGGATATATTTTAAAATGAAAGAAAGCAAAGAGAAAAATATAATAAACTTACCGCTAGTTCTCCCAATACTTCTGGATCTTTAAAGTCAAAATACTTCAACAGAAGTCCAACAATGAACAAAGACCTTTTGATTACAGCTTTACATATCGCATGTTCTTCAGTAGACAAGCCATTACTTTGCCAATTTGTATATCCCACCAGACAATTATAAAACTTAGTAAAGCAGTCTCTGATGGCATCATACTTGTGAGTAATTTTGTTGCAAATCACTGCTAAACAAGACAAACAGCTGTTAACAATCGTTCTGTCGTACCGTAGCAGCAGCTTCATGATTTGTTCTTCTAGCTGTGCTAAAAATATATCGCTGGGATTTTCCGATAAAGGAATTGCTAATTCTAGCATAGCGATAACGCTTCCTACAGTCCCGTTATCTTTGGGAGATTCCTCTTGTAGTTCCAAATAACTTTGAAGCTTAGTCACGTGTCGAACTAGAAGCTGAGGTCTTACTTTAGCAAATATGTGTAGAGTTTTTAAGATAGCTGCAAGTTTTTCAGGTGATTCATAGTTGTGTTTATTGGGACTACGAAGGGTAGGTTCCATCAGGAAATCGACTATTTGGCGAGAAGCTCGTAAAATTTCGTTAGGATGATCAAATTTTGATTTTGAGGAATTATATTTGCCATCTGATGGTGTCAATAACTGTAATAAATAAAAAATTGATAAAAAAATACATACTGTCAAAAACTTTAAAAGCTGTTAAGCTTTAGAACAATAGAATGCTAGAATACGTAAATAAAAAATGTTAAAAAAATAATTAAAAATTAGATTGACTTACCTCGAATAATAATTGCTCAAAATTTTCTAAATCTTGGGAAGCAGCAACAACTTCAACAATCCTAGTAACTTTTTTAAATAGTTTTGAACCGGAGGCACAAGTAAACCACATGTTTTGAAATATTTTTAACACCAACTCTTTAACACTATCTTCATCGTTGATCCTTCGAATTATTTTTACACAAATTTCAGTATTTTTCTCAAAATCGGGATAGTCCAGGCAAATTTCGTTTAAAATCTTGATCACACGTTTTCTAATGTTTATTCCTGTATCTAATATTCGAGCAGATAACATGTCATAGCATTTAGTTATTAACTCTGGTTTGTATAAGATAAACTTGACCAACAGATCCACGACAGCTTCTCTTACTGAAGCGGAAGGATCGATGAAAGACTTGCTTATCATCAATTGAGTATCGTTACTTTCCAGGACCGTTGGATCGGTTTCAATGATGGTGGTAAGGCATTTTAAGCCTTTGGTTCTTAAAACTTTCGAAGCATCTTTTAAAACGATCAAAATCTAAAAACAATAATTAACTAAAATATCCTCGATGTTATTATAAACAATTTAATTACAAACATGCATATAAATAAATCAGCAGGTATTTGAAGAGATATTTGAACTGAATATTAACTTACCGCATTGAAATATTGGTCAAAGCTTTGGGAAAAATATCTCTTGGAAGCTAAAAGCGCAACAATCATTTTTGCTTCGTTATACTCAATTTGGTATTCATACACTTGATGTTGGAACTCTGGAGAAAGACTCTCTTGGATTTTTTCTAAAAGAAACTTCTCTTTTTCAGCGATTTGTCGAGTGATTTCTGGATCTCCTTGTTGAACGTTTTCGTTATCGTTAGATTTACTCTTTGCTTTGGAGCTACTTTTGTATTTCTGGTTACGTTTTTTAGTATCACTTTTTTCTTTGTGATCTAAACCCAGCTGAGATTCTTTTGATGCAAAATCTTTGTACCACTGAACTAAGTAGAATAATCTTGCATTTTTGTAGATCCAAGTCTGTTGGCTATTTACGTCTAGAAATTCCAGTAAAAGTCTTTGAAGGAATTTGTCATCATTACTAAGTACGTCGACGTCAATCTGAAATTTATTATAGCTGTTTATACAGTATGATAAATAATGTTACTTTTGCGATGGAATATTTTTTGTAACTACTCTACTGCTGGTTTCACCGAAAATACCTTCAAATTATTTAACTAAAAAAGTACACCCTTTATATTTTTGCAAACATTTAAAAGAACTAGTGATTCTTAATGTATATATACTAAGCTTAATATATACATACAACCATATTAAGTTGTGTATTATACCTCTATTGATGAAATTAAATCACTAATATTAAGTTTAAAATTGTAAGCTATTAGATGTGATATTTCTGCAAAGATGCTACAACTCCCCCTTTCTATTACTGCTCCCTTTATTAACCCATTAATGCCCAGAACTATTTATGCTTATTTTTTTAATTCCTGAAAAATTTATGTTCTAAAAGTTACAAAATTAACAAAAACATATGTTTAAAAAATGAAAAACTTCTTTGACAATTGGCTGTTGCGAAAACGCAGGAGATGGACTGCTTCAGTTCTGTAAAGAAAATCAGTACAGTATCATGAACAGCTTTTTCAAGTTACCACCCAGACGTCTCTACACATGGAAATCTCCAGCAGATGGAATAGAAGGGCGCATCACAAGAAATCAAATCGATTACATAATGGTCAACAAAAGATACAAAAACGCAGTAAAAGCATGCAAGACATACCCCTGAGCTGACATCCCCACCGACCACAATCTTCTTCTTGCAACAATTATCATAGAATTTAAAAGAACAAAAAGAAATAAGCAAATAATAGCTATTAACCCAGATAAACTTAAAGAAGAATCCACTAGTAATAAAATACGGGAAGAAATACATAGACACTTGAGTAACAGAACAGTACAAGCAACGCAAACTCCCGAGGAAGAATGGCACTATATTTAGAAAACACTTACAAGAGTAACAGAAGACTACCTCAAATAAGATACACGAAAAAAGAACAAACCATGGATGACAGAAAAAATTCCAAACAAGATGGACGAAAAAAGAAAATACAGAGGTAAAACTGAAGCAACATACAAGCAAATACACAAGAATATCAGAATAAAGATCCAACAAGCCAAAGAAACCTGGCTAAGTGAATGATGCCAAGAAATTGAAGAGTTGGAACAAAGACATGATACTTTCAATCTACATAAAAAAGTAAAAGAAGCCGCTGGAATATTTAAACAAACTCCTACGTCTTTCATCAAAGATAAACATGGGAACCCGCTACTGAACATAGAAGATCAATTAGGTAGATGGAGAGAATACGTGGAAGAGATGTTTCAAAACCGAGAGAGGACGAACATTTACATGCAGGAGGCATCGACTGGACCTTATATCACAAAGCAAGAAATTATCAAAGCGGCAAATCAGATAAAGAACAGAAAAGCTGTTGGGGAAGATAATATCCCAATTGAAATAATAAAGATATTACTAGACGAACACATCGAAGTAATGGAAGATATATTTAACAAAATTGAGAGAGAAGAGAAACTCTAAGAAATGTGAAGACCATAGGATTATTAGCCTGATGAATCATATGTTGAAGCTTTTCCTACGAGTAATACACAATAGAGTATACAATAAACTAGACGAACACACTGGTCAAACTCAGTTTGGTTTTAAGAATGGGTTCGGAACAAGAGAAGCACTTTTTTCAATACGTGTGCTAGTTGAAAGATGTAGAGATGTCGATTCTGATGTATACTTGTGTTTTATAAACTTTCAGAAGGCGTTTGACCTGGTGAAACATGATAAACTAATAGATATTTTAAGGTCATGTAATATCGACGATAAAGACTTGAGGATCATTTCAAACCTCTACCAAGAACAAAAGGCTAAAATCAGAATAAAAAGCGAAACATCTGGAAAAATCAATATAGAGAAGGGAATAAGACAGGGATGTGTCCTATCAACTTTGCTGTTCAATGTTTACTCTGAGAAGATATTTCAAAAAGCTTCGGAAGACACCTCGGATGGTATAATTATAAACGGGCAATGTATAAATAACCTGCGATATGATGATGACACTGTCATACTGGCAGATAATGCTGAAGCCCTGCAATGCTTAATGGACCTAGTAACGACAGCCTGTAGAGAATTTGGAATGAAATTGAATACAAAGAAGACAAAAACGATGGTCATCAGGAAGCACCAAAACAGAAGGGTGAAGGTCAATGTCGACGGAACAGATCTGGAAAGAGTAACAAGAACAACGTACCTTGGAAGTAATCTTGATGAAACTTGGGACCACTCACTAGAGATAAGAATACGTCTGGAAAAGGCACGTACAATGTTTTACAAAATGCAAAAAGTTCTATGCAACCGCCAGCTGGGCATCTCATTGAGAACTAGAATACTTAGTGCTATGTTTTCTCCACCTTGCTCTATGGTATTGAAGCATGAACAATGACAGAAGCAACACAAAAAGAATCCAAGCATTCGAACTCTGGTGTTACCGTAAAATGCTCAGAATATCCTACATGAGTCATACGACAAATGCGGAAGTCTTGCGGAGGATGAATAAGGAAAGAGAGCTTATGCTTATAATAAAAGAACGGAAAACACAATATTTTGGTCACATCATAAGAAATCAAAAATATGAACTGCTCCAACTTATAATCGAAGGCAAAGTCAATAGCAAAAAAGGACCAGGAAGAAAACGCAACTCTTGGCTTAAAAACCTACGGCAATGGACGAACATGACCTTCATAGAACTATGCAGGGCTGCTACAAATAAGATTAAATGGGCAAATGTAATGGCCAACGTCCTTAAGGATAAGGCACCGTAAGAAGAGAAGAAAAAAACGCAACACTTGGAAGTTAGGATATAAAAAAATGTGTTTAATAATACGTTGTTTAACATATGACATTAAATAATATAAAAGAGTTTTAAATAAACTGAAATGAAAATAATATAAAAAAATTATTGCGTATTGCTATGAGATTTAATAAAACATTTTTCATGTAATGGAACCTTACGTTTAATATATTTTTTATTGGTTGTTGAGTGACAAAGGACGCATCGGGTTCGGTTTTCTTGGTCAGAAATAAGATGTCCGATGTTGTCGAATTGAACATATTCTGTAATGTTATTTATGGAAGATTAAGATGGGCCAGATTTTCTTGGAGGTGTTCTAAATATCGTCAACAAGGCTTTCGCTATATTTCGACGAAATTGCAGACAATTCGGGGACAATTTATCTTATTCTACGGTAAATTAACCAAGCATTTTGTATGGAGACATTAAGACCCCAGATAAATAACGGCCAATGCCATTTATTGCATTTAAAAGCCTTTAAAAATGTCTAGAAACGTTATATCTCTAGGGATATAGTCTAAGTTATATCGCGAATATTGTTGATGTTACTCAGAGTGCTTTATTGAAAAGTAAAAAATATCCAAGATACAAATAACGTCAAGGATTGTCCCAGAAGTGATAGAAGTCGATGTACAACAGCAGCACAAGACCGGCAAATAACATTGATAGCTCGTAGAAAATGTCTAAAATCTACAAGTGGTATATCCAAAGAAATTTGTAGACTTCAAGGACTGAATATTACAAGGCAAACAATAACACGCAGATTAAATGCGGCAAATTTGTATCATAGAGACCGCTACGTGTTCCTAAACTAACCTACCAACGCAAAATAGTAAGGTTGCAATGGGCCAGATAAATGGTGCATCACGGTCCTTACTGGAATAAGGTGATGTTCTCTGATGAGTTAAAAATTGGCTTGGTATCTGATTCGCGAAGAACACTGGTTTTGAGGACCCCAGGACGGCAAGCCTGACTAGAAACAGCCCAACCGCGTGTCCCATTTGAAGGTGACAGAATTATGGTTTGGGATGGTATTATGAGTGGCAAACTGGAGAAGAATGGAGGGAAGAGTCACTGGTGCTGTGTATATCGAGGAAGTTTTAAATCTTGTTCTACGTCTATTCCGAGGAGCAGTAGGTGATGAATTTGTGTTTATGCATGACCATCGAACAGCAGCAGTACAAAATTTTCTGGAAGAAGAAGGAATATCTACATTACAGTGGCACTTCGAGAAGCACTCGAAGTACACTTCGAGAACTAAAAGATGTTGCTCGTGAAGAATGGGACAGAATTGCGCAAGACCAGCTCGACCAGTTAATCGGCAACATGCAAAATCGCCTATTGGCATACATACAGGCCAATGGAGGAAATATTAATTATTAGTTTTATTAAAAATTATTTTTTCTATACTAATTTATTTTTAAATGTAAGTTGTGCATTGTAAGTTTTTCACTCCAAGAGAATAAATATTTTTTTTGCATATCGTTTATCTGGTTTTGAGATTAATTTCGTATTGTTGAAAATTGAAACAAAATGATGTTTAACTATTCAGAACAGTTTATATATAAAAATTAATAAAAAGGTAAAATATTCAAATATTCCAAACTTTTGGACATATGTGTATATGCTGCATGTTTTTTATAAATTCATATGCCTTGCAATATTTTGAGATTTAAGAGCAGATAATTGCATATTTTGATAATTATAAATACTAGGTAGTAAATTAGTAACATCCATTAAAATAAAATATGAAAATATCTATACAGGGTGGTCCTTAAGTAATTGTACAAAAAGAAACCGCAGATTCTATACTTTAAAATATTACGATTTAAGCCAACTTACTTTAATAAAATGTTGATATTAAAAAAGATACAGGGTGGTAAAGTAGAAATTTAAAATTTCATTTTTCGCTATAACTTTCATGTTTGTAAACATTTATATATAAAAATTTACAGCTGGGTACTATTTAATATTAGAAATTATAATTTGATGAACACTTTGATATAGCTAATAGAGGGCGCCACATATGCCACATACGTCGCATACATTTGCACTTAACTTTTTTGTCCTTTAAGTTACCGGTATTTTTTATGAAAAATATTAAAGATACGTTATTTTAACAAAGAAAAGGTATACTTGTTAATAACTTCAAAACTCAACAGTTTTTGAGATAATCGCATTTTACAAATCAACTGCATAATTCTGAATTAACGCAATTACTCCAGGCAATGAAAGAAAAATAGATAAAAACATCAATACTTCCAAATTTTGTTATAAAATACCTTTAATAAAGTCAATAATTAACGAAATATTAAATAAAATAAATATATCAGTAGGATAATTAATAGTAGGATCTGATAATATAACAGAATAATTGGATTTTACATCAAACATTTTACGTTTTGTATTAAATTGAAGTCATAATCAAAACATTTTATTTACAAACCAAATTAGGAAATAGTTAAACTAAATACCATTAAACTTTTTGTCAAAGTAAGTGTTCGATATGTCCACCATTTTCTTAATTCATTTGTCAATACATTCCATAAAATATCGTCTCATATTAAATAGCATCATTGGTTCTAAACAAACTGCTGCAGTATTTATTATAATTGTTTTAAGTATGATAATAAGTAATTTTTTGAAATTTTTATGAATTAAATAATTATATTATTATCTCACCACAAGAATATGACTACAACGAACAATCCAACGTTCAGGAAAGTGTATTTAAATACTGTCTCACTCCGCTTTCTCTGTAATGTAATGGTTTACCATCTTGTAGAAACCACATATTTCGCCTTACGTTTGATGACAATTCTTCCAATATATCAATAAAACCATTTTATAAAAAATGTAAATAAATCTCGTTATTCAAATTGCAAGGTAATTCGCATATCCGTAAAACATCATTCAAAATTCATATGTAAAATGCATGTCCTATGGTTTGGAACCATTGATAATTATTTTTTACGGATATGCGAATTACCTTGCAATTTGAATCACGAGATTTATTTACATTTTTTATAAAATGGTTTTATTAATATATTAGAAGAATTGTCATCAAATTTAAGGCAAAATATGTGGTTTCTACAAGATGGTAAACCATTACATTACAGTGAAAGCGGAGTGAGACAGTATTTAAATACAACTTTCCTGAACATTAGATTGTTTGTAGTAGTCATATTTTTGCGGTGAGATATTAATATAATTATTTAATTCATAAACATTTCAAAAAATTACTTATTATTATACTTATAACACTTTAATCAATACTGCAGCAATTTCTTTAGAACCAATGACTCTATTTAATATGAGACGATATATTATCGAATGTATTGACAAATGAATTAAAGAAAATGGTGGACATACTGAACATTTACTTTGACAAAAAGTTTAATTTTATTTACTTTAACTATTTTTTAATTTGGTTTATACATAAAATGTTTTGATTATGACTTTAATTTAATACAAAACGTAAAATGTTTGATGGAAAATCCAATTATTCTGTTATTTATCAAATCATATTATTTTATTCTACTGATATATTTATTTTATTTAATAATTCATTAAATATTAACTTCGTTAAAGGTATTTTATACCAAAATTCAGAAGTATTGATGTTTTTCTTTAATTTTCTTTCGTTGACTGGAGTAATTGCGATAAATCAGAATTATGTAGTTGATTCCTAAAATAAAATTATCTCGAAAACTGTTGAGTTTTGAAGATATTAACAAGTATACCTTTTTTTGTTGAAATAACGTATCTTTAATATTTTTTAATAAAAATACCGGTAGCTTAAAGATCAAAAAAGTTATGTGCAAATACATGCCACATATATGGCATATGTGGCGCCCTCTATCAGCTACATCAAAGTTTGCATCAAATTATAATTTCTGATATTTAATAGTACCCAGTTGTAAATTTTTATACATAAATGTTGACAAACGTAAAAGTTATAGCGAAAAATAAAATTTTAAATTTCCTCTTTAACACCCTGTATCTTTCTTAATATCAACATTTTATTAAAGCAACTTGACTTAAATCGTAATATTTTAAAGTGTAGAATCTACGGTTTCTTTTTGTACAATTACTTACGGACCACCCTGTATATTCGAAGGTTAAACTCCTTTGTTATTGTATCCACAAACATAATAGACAGTATTACTACCGTCAGGGTGTTTAGGACTGTAAACTACCCAGACAAGGTTACATTAGAAAATGCCCATTATATTTTGAATATTACAAATACTACTAGTCCTATCTGCTTTAGAAATTATTTAGGAAAAACAAACAAAATTAAATTTTAGGGGTAGAAGCTTCCCTTTGAAAGAAAATTGTACAAAAAGGGTGTACATATGTGGGAAATTATTAGTATAATTTCCGTGTATGTGGACTGTATAATATAGGACTGGTTCAATAAAATTAGGATATGTAATAAAAGGTATACAGACAATAGCAAATTAAGGGTATAGAAAGTCTTACCAATATTTCTGCTCCACACTCTCACAGTTGTTTCCAGTCTTCACTCGTGGTTATTCTTTACCCGCAAAATCTGTCCGATGCACCGGTTTTTGAACACGTGTTTCGCAAATATATCACGATATAGAGCACACTTTGTCTGCACACGATTTAATACAGTATTTTCGATATTTCTCGCGTAACTAAAGCGGGAAAGAGGTAATTACGATAGAAAAACAGCCAAGATAGATGCTGTTCTTCTTGATAAGCGAAGAGAGAGAGATCAAGAGAGAGAACGTCTGGCTCTAGTGATAGCCAAACTAAGAGAGTTGAGAATGGTCTGTCCTTAGCGACGAGCGACCATCAAGAGAGTTCTGTCCTTATTGATAGCTGATAATCAAGAGAGAGTATTTCTTCTTTGCTATCTTGAAACTATTTGTATTTCTTAAGAGAGGGGGTTGAACTGTAAGTAGGAAGGGTTATTAAAGGTTGGACTAGGATAATGATTGTAAAATTGTGATATAAGGATATTTAATAATACAGCGAAAAAATGACATGATTTTTCGCATGTGAGAAAATTGAACAAAAATACTTAAATAAAAAAGAACAGAAAAAGAAGATTCTTTTCAAAAACGTTCAGTGATGAAAGATAAGATACGCTGCGGAGACATTTACATGAACAGCAAGAGAAGAAAAGCAACTGAAAGTTTTTGAGAGGAAGATTATGAGAAAAATACTGGGACCAAAGAGAAAAACGAAGAGAAGAAAAACAATGTTTGAATTACAAAATACAAGAATGGATGGGTCAAGAGTACATAGTTGGAGCAATAAAAGCTCAAAAAATTAGATGGTATGGACACATAATGAGAAGAGTGAAGAGCAATCCATTAAGTTATAAAGCAATAGACACCACCAGGTAAAAGAACCAGAGGCAAACCTAAACTTAGATGGAGAGACAGCAACTGGAAGAGGACTTAAGAAGTATGGGAATTAAAAATATAGAAAGGACAATCAAAGAAAGAGAAGAATGGAGAAAAGTAGTGGAAACAGCAAAGTTACACCAGAAACTGTAAAGTTAAATAAAAAATGGGACGATCCCCGAGACAAAAAGGATCTTTCAAATCAATAGATTTGAATAGAAGGACAAATCAATAGACCAACTATTTTTGTATGTATGCCTCCTGAAAACTCAGGAGGTTAGAACCAAACTTTCTAATACTAAGCCATTAAATAACTACTAAAATTATAGGGAACTCTCACCTTACTTTTTTCCGCTTCTTTTTGACTGCTGTTTTGTTCGTTCCGCTTTATTTTAAAGATCGTATTACTGATATTAGCTTTTTCAGCCGTAAACAAGACATTGTCTTTTCTCAATTTAGCTGCTATTATAGTCAAACAATCCAAACTAACTACTCTGAGAGCGATTTCGTCATCTTTGTTTAGAAAGATTTTTACCAACATCTTTCCTAACAAACATAGCATTAGATCAGCACCTGGAAATTCTGGATTATTTCTAACCAAAAACAGATCTTGTACGAAATTTTCGAATAAAGAACGATGGTCCGTATTCTTTTGCTTTTTAAAGCATCTTTGAAAGAAGATTGTAAGAAAAGCACCTGCCATAAAGGTCGTTTCTTGGTATTTAGTGCAAATGAGAGTGCTAATATCGACCTGAAAGACAAAAATTATGATTTACAAATGTTTGGGTATTTAATTTTTGGATAGTACCTTGTCTTTGGTTTTGGTCTTGGTATTTTTCTGAAAAATATTATCTGGTAAAGTAATCATGGATTGTATAAGCTGCAAAACCAAGGCGCTCACTATTGATATATTTGTTCCATCCTTTAATATATACGTTTTTAAATGTTGTTTGGTAGTGGGAACAAGCATAAGAGAAGATAAAATATTGTTCAAAAAGTCTGTTTGGTGTGTTTTATATGTTTTAAATAGCTGCAATGAAAATAATGTTAATAGTTTTAAGAATTATCTAATTGAAGCAAAATAAACGCAGTATTATCTATTGTAAGATACTGGTAGTAGTAGTATTAGTAGTATTAATATTTATTTCTAAAATTGTAGATACATATATACAAAGACATTATAACCAGAGTGTCAAAACAAAAAAATTACAGATTTTGTCGCTTGAAGTAAAATAAACTGGGATAGAATATGGAAAATATACAAAAAGTTGAGCGTCAACTATTTTTAGAAGAAAACTAGTAAAACAAAAGTGAAAACAAATGAAAAGAATCAACAGAAATTGGAACAAAATAATTATTTAAAAAAATATAACAATGTAACGTGCGTTACATTTTATTTATATCCAAAAGTTTCATTTAGAAAAGTTGTGAACATTTTTATTACAAACAATTTTTGGTGCCAAATGTACTCGGTTGCCAATGAGTTATAGGTCATGGTGATATTTTTGAGGGTTTGTCGCTGCCTATAACTTTCGCGTTTATGCAGAAGACAATATTAACTGAGACACTGTAATGGGCAAACATGGCCTGGGAATGATGAATGAAAACAGAGAGCGTTATACAAATTTTTGTTCCAATCGTAGCTTAGTTATTGGTGGAACCATCTTCCCACATGAAAATATGCACAAGGGAGGAAGGATTTGGGGAGGAACTCCAACTCAAAACAAGAGAACATGAAGTAAATTGCTGGAAAGACTTGGCAGATGTTTTGACAAAAATGGCTAAAGATAAAGTGGGTAAAAAAGAGAAACATAGAAAAAAATGAATGTCAGATGAAACATGGAATCCTATCAAGGAAAGAAAACAGCCAAAGAAATATATTCTGCAAGCAAGAACTGTAGAAGCAAAAGCAAACCGACAACAAGAATATGAAACAAGAAATAAAGTAGCTAAAAGAAATGCAAGAAGAGACAAGAGAAGGTAGGCTGAAGAACTAGCAAAACAAGCTGAAACAGCTGCACAACACAACAGAACTAGAAAGCTATACCAAATTACTAGACGACTAACAAAAAATGGGCCCAACTGTTCAAACATTGTAAGATCCAAGACAGAAGAATTACTTACTACAACAAATGACCAAGTAGAAAGATGGAAAGGGCATTTTCAGGAGATACTAGGCACGTCCAGGAAAATCGCAGATGAAAATGTCGAAAACCTGCAGAATGTAAACTTGCGTATATTTTGCGGGGACCCTTTCAAAACGGAGATCATAACAGCTATCAAATCTCTGAGAAATAACAAGTCTTCGTGATACGATAGCATTGCTGCCGCAATACTTAAAACTGATCCGCATCTAACTGCTGAACTTTTGCTCCCCATAATCCGAGAGGTGTGGGAAACAAACCACATTCCAATGAGCTGTAAAAGGGGTAACACTATTAAACTTTCAAAAAAGGGCAACTCCACACTGTGCAAAAATTGGAGAGGAATAACCTTGCTTACCGCAATAAATATCTTCACAATCATCATGCTTAAAATATTAACAAACAAGATTGAATTTCGAGCTGATCAAGCAGGCTTTAGACCAAAATCCTCATGCATAGGCTACATTAATACTGTGAGGGTAATAATGGAACAATCGGTTAAATGAAACATGGTTTTTACCTACACATGGTTTTTGTTGACTTTGAGCGTGCCTTTGACAGCTTATCTTATTCCGCTTTATTTAAAATTTTAGAGCTAAGAAACATCCCGCATAAAATAATTTCCATAAAGTCACTGTAAATTAAGGCGAAATGCAAATAAACACACAATGGAATCAACAGCGACGAATTCGACATACTTAGGGGGGTCACACATAGAAAGAGCAAAACTGCTTTAGTCAAAAACGTTTTTGACTAAACGAGTCTGTTGCTCATGTTTCCATGTAAATGAAATGAGCTGATGCACACTGATTATTCGTGTGTAAAGCATGTTTAGGCTCATTTACTTTCAGCCAGTCTGTTTGATGTTGATTACCGGATTGTCGTTTTGTGTCTAAACATTTCAATGTACGCAGGCGCAACGTGTTTCCCGGGAATTCTCTTCTTGAAACCGCTCAAGTAGTCAACAAGAAGCACATGTGGAAACACAGCGATATTTAGCTTGTTTATATTGTGTGTATCATGGAATTGGGCGCAGAAAAATTAATTGTACTGATTGAGGCGAGATCTCCTTTATATAATTATCAATTAAAAGACCCTTAATTCTTGGAGCAAAGACTGGAGAGTTTTTTAGCAGTTCTTTTCTCATTTATAGGATGCACCCAAAATTGTCTTTTATTTTGCGTTTTTTCTTCATGTAGGAGGAACCACTGCCAGAAAACTAGTGTAATTTCGTCGTTATCTGTCGACATCTTTAATAAAACTGGTTGCAGTATGGTTGGTGCAAACATTTTGTTTCTCTTGAAAACAAAATGTTTCTTGTGAAAACAAAAACGTTTTTCACTCAAACAGTTTTTCTCTTTCTGTGTGCGGCCACCCTTACTGGAGTCAGACAGGGATGCGTGCTTTCTCCGTTTCTTTTTAACATAGCAGTAGACTATGTTTTCTGGCCTCAAATCATCAGAAACGAAGATCTACTATACCTGACTGAACAAAAAAAGGTAGAACAATAAATAAAGTCCAGAAAGTGGTGTTGGATTGGTCACACACTTAGAAAAAATAATTCCTGTGTTGCAAAGATTGCCCTACAGTGAAATCCCCAAGGAAGAAGCAGAAGAGGTCGCACAGTACAAATTTGGAGAAGATCCATCATGAACGAGATAAGAGGTCAAAGAAAGTCTTGAAATGATGTGGAGGCCTTAGCGCAAAATAGAACCCGATGGCGCGTTTTTACTGAAGCTCTATGCTCCATTTAGGCGGTTAAGAACCTTATATATAACGTTCATTTATTCTCTCCACTTCCTTGTGTTAATATGTTATTCATTTTTGTTTTTTCTCTTTGATCTATTTATAACGTTAAAAATACTAAACTCACACTAAACGCACACTCATGACAAAAAAATTACTAAAAATTAGTTTATAAATACAATTTTAAATATAAAAATGGTATATTTACCTTAGTGACAAGATTCAAATTAGCTATTTGTAAATTCTGTACGTTCTTTGCCCAAAACGTAGCAGTACCTATGGAGAAGACAAGAGAGATAGCCGTCTCATCTAACGTCAAGACATCGATTAATTCTGCTATTAAGTACACTAATTCGGTTATTTTTACAGTTAAGAGAATAAAACTCTTTTCATAAGTAACCTTAGAATTTTGACAGTTTTCTTTCGTTTTGTTCTCTGCTGTATACGTTGGATCGATTGCGGGGAGAATTGTATTTGCAATAATATGATTTATGCAATTCATGACTCGATGTATAAGTTCTTCCAAATATACACGTTTTGGCATGTTTTTAGAAGTCATTATGTACATGCAGATCAAACAAGCATCTGTGGTTGCTAGTACTTTCTCTATTGATCGTCGAAATAGCTGAATATTTTTCTGAAATAGAAAAATCTACTAATTTGAGTATTTTATATCTTTAAGTATATAGCCAACTCACGTTTATCCGCAAGAGGATGATTCGCGACTCTGTAAAACCCATTTTTAATGTGAATGAAAACGTCTTGTTACAGTGTAAACTGACCAGCAAGGAAACATATTTTCTTTCGCGCATATTCAGTATTTTCCAGAATCCAATGATTGACACGTGATTGAGACTACTTTTGACCAGTTGAGACGGATTATTGTGGATGACTAATTTTATTATTTATTTGTTAGACTAAATAGGTTGTTTGTATGATGTGTAGTGAAACAAAGGATCGGCTATGACTGTGAAGCAGTGATGGAAGGGGGTTTTTAACGTGCATGTGGTATAACTCTGATTTGGGTCGAAGTTTGTGGAGTTAATCGTGGGTTGTAAGATAGTGTTATATTTTAAGATAAAGCAATTGTTTTATTGTTTTGTTACCATGACCGATATACATAGGTTCAGCTATCAGGTCCAAAAATTTCTGCAAAATCAAAATAATTTTTAATACATTGGGCTGAGAAGGAGATTTTGATGCATCATCTGGGTCTTAAGCAACATCATGGGATGAATGAGATAGAATTTTATAGAGAAAAGCTTAGCGGTGAAGAACAAGGAGCTGAACAATTTAAAAGTGAGTTAAAATAGTATCTTTTAAAAAAAGTGAACGTAAATTAGGAGGCATAAAGCCAGGAAGAAACGGATTAGGATTCTGTTTTTCAGCTACTCTACAACGCTTTTAGGGGCAATAGGCAATCAACAGGCAAAAAACTGCCTGTTGATTAGTTCAACCAAAAGAATGGGTTCATGGATAAAAAAATATTTTAAGAGTGGTTTGAAGCTAAATTTGGACAAATAGTAATAAAATATTTAAAAGCGAACAATTTGCTACAAAAAGCTGTGCCGTTTATTGACAACGTCGCTTCACATCCTGAAACGCATGTGCTTAAGTCAGCTGACAGCAAAATTTTTACCAAATTTTAGGCCAACACTCGAAGGCGTTAGTCGTTAGCTATGGACCAACGCGTCATTGCATCTATGAAGAGAAACTACAGAACAAAGTTACTTCGCTTAAAAATCAAAGAAGGATATGACTTTTTATATGAGTAAGAGTTATGGAAATCATTCGCTGTATTTACGAAATTGCATCTGCGCGAGAGTCTGTAAAGTAATCAATAATTATGTAGTCACTAGAGAATAAAGTCAATTATAGTGGAGTAAACTGTTACCAAACATCAAAAATTGTAAAGAAATAAAAGTTTGAGGCAGTGTTTCAAAACTTACCGAAAAATCGGTAGATCTACTGATTTCGACGTTTTTCTACCGATCTACCGAAAAAGATTCTATCGAATTTTATATTCAGGTAGAAATTTTTTACTTATTCCTAAATTTGAGAAGACATATGTAAGAGACAAAACAATTTTTCTTGCAATATCGAATGAACAAAATTTCGGAGCTAAAGAGATTGCAATTTAAAGGAGTTTAATTCTGACAGAGACATCTGTGAAATAAAAGTTCAAGGTCTTTCTCCTCTTTTGTATTTGAGCAACACTTTAATTGCGATATTAAATTAGTTTTTTTCCGTAAAATGCGCTGTCATTTGGCGATGTGGCAGATAGTTCAAACGCTTGAGATTTACTGGGGATTCCAAGAAAATAAAGTAACTACTAGGTGATTCTAAGTAAGGAATCTGGGGAATTCCCTAGAGCGGTAGACGCAGAGCCAGCGAGGTAGTTAGTAGTGAAAAAAGCATACTAAACATAAACACAGACTCATTTATATTTCAGTCAGTTGTGAAGTCGTAACGTGGTGTTATTATATTTGTACCTTAATTGTTTACCTTTAATATAAGTATGTAGTATATGTACCCAATGTAAATGTGGCAACAAAAAGAAGCCTTTTATTTCCCACTTCGTTACTGTTAAATGTTACTGCCAGCCAAGTGCCAATGTGCCAGCAGTGCCAACCTTCTCGTTCTCAGTTCAGTATCTCGGTTCTCATTTTTTTATTTTCTTAAATTTAAATAAATAAACATATTTATTTCGTCTTAAAGAAACGAATTGCAACACATTAAAATTTAAACAGAATATTAAATTTTGAAAAATCTACCGATTATAAATGAAATCGTAGGCTTCCACGGCCAGAGTCAGAATTATAGTTTATTCGTCTTCCGGGTTTAGACCGTGTCATTTGTGAGTGACCCAAAAGTGGGTTCATCTCGACGTTTCGCTACAATTATATGTAGCTTCTTCAGGAGAACAAAGAAAAAGAAAACAAAGGACAGGAAGAAGGGTAGTTAGCAACGGTAACTCAGTTACTCAACGCAACCAGAGGCGAATACTAACTACCAAGATGAGCATTTGGTCACAGTAACTCAACTACTCAACGCAGCCAGAGGTGAAAACCAAATGCCAGGACAGGGATTCACGTCCAACAGCTCAGACACTAACGCTTCGAGAGGCGGGGAGTGAATCCGACGATTACTCCGCTACCGCTCTATTTATAGTCGCGGTGACCTGTCGTGTCGGGACGTGTCGGCACACTCCGTGGCGCGAACGTCAAGAAGCGCGCGCTGGCCAATCATGTGGCTGCATCGTGGTAGCGGGACCGGACGGCGGCTCTGCCGGCAATCTCCTCCCTCACGGTCGATCCCCAAGACATTCTCGTCAGTTTCGATGTATCATCCCTATTTACCAATATCCCCATACATGACTCTCTAGTTGTTCTGCGAGATCACTTGACCAATGATAACAAGTCTTTGGTTTTGGCAGATCTTGCGGAAAAATGCCTCCTTTCAACATATTTTCTTTAAGAGGCAATTTCTACAAACAAATATCTGGAACACCAATGGGTTCTCCCCTTTCCCCTGTCATTGCTGACATTTTCATGGAAGCCTTTGAGTCTTTAGCCCTAGAATCTTACCCCTTAAAACCAAAAGTCTGGTTCCGCTACGTTGATGATACATTTATCATCTAGCCCCATAGTCAACATACCCTTTCTTCCTTCCTAGATCATCTTAACTCACAACATCCGAGTATAAAATTCACAATGGAAGTAGAAAATAATCGGTCCCTTCCCTTTCTCGATGTGTTAGTCACCTCCAAGCCCAATGGCCGATTGGGTCACTCTGTTTATAGAAAAACGACTCACACGAATCGTTACCTACATGCTTCATCACACCACCATCCTGCCCAAAAGAATTCTGTGATCAACTCTCTCATCCATCGGGCCATTTCGATTTCTGAACCTGACAACCTTAGAGAAGAACTTGGCCATCTGTAAAAAACCCTTGTCGCCAACGGTTACTCCAAGTCCACAATTCAAAATATTACACACCGACATCTACATCCCCCTTCACACCCCAGGACGACAAATTCAGAATCTTCGGGTAATACTCCTGTGGCTTTTCTTCCGTATATTCGAAGTGTCACTGATAGGATTGGCAAAATTCTTCGCAAAGAAGGTATCAGGACTACTTTTCGACCACCCAAGAAAATCTCACAATATCTACCCTCTCCTAAGGACCCATTACCGCCCCTATCTTCATGTGGTGTCTATTCTATTCCTTGTTCATGTGGACATGTGTATATTGGCGAAACTGGTCGTTCCGTCAAAACTCGTATTCAAGAGCATCAAAGATGCATTCGATCAGGTCTTTTCTCCCATTCTGCAGTTGCAGAACACTGCCAAGAAACCGGTCATTCCATATTGTTCGAAAAAACCCATATTATTTCTAAGAGCCCCTTCTTTTATTTCAGGAAAATCCGCGAATCTCTAGAGATCCGAAAAAATCCACATAATATCAATCGAAAGGAAGGATACTACTTGTCTCCCATCTGGAATCTCCGTCCAGAGCCGCCGTCCGGTACCGCTACCACGATGCAGCCACATGATTGGCCAGCGCGCGCTTCTTGATGTTCGCGCCACGGAGTGTGCCGACACGTCCCGACACGACAGGTCACCGCGACTATAAATAGAGCGGTAGCGGAGTAATCGTCGATCGTCGGATTCACTCCCCGCCTCTCGACGCGTTAGTGTCTGAGCTGTTGGACGTGAATCCCTGTCCTGGCATTTGGTTTTCACCTCTGGCTGCGTTGAGTAGTTGAGTTACTGTGACCAAATGCCCATCTTGGTAGTTAGTATTCGCCTCTGGTTGCGTTGAGTAACTGAGTTACCGTTGCTAACTACCCTTCTTCCTGTCCTTTGTTTTCTTTTTCTTTGTTCTCCTGAAGAAGCTACATATAATTGTAGCGAAACGTCGAGATGAACCCACTTTTGGGTCACTCACAAATGACACGGTCCAAACCCGGAAGACGAATAAACTATAACTACCGATTATACTCCACAATATACCAATTTTTTAAAAGAATTCTACCGATTTTATTTTTTACGTTTGAGAACACTGGTTGGAGAAGATAAAAATAAATTGCTTAACTTCACAAGTTCAGTTCCTTGGGGAAAGAATGTGGACGCAAGAAATATGCAAGAGGGATGACACTGGGATGCTTCCACCCGGGAAGACATCCCGGGTGGAATGTATGGAGAAGAAGAAAATACCGAGGAGAAAACGAAGAAGAAAGCAATAAAGAAGAAGAAAAGAAGGAATGTTTTGCATCTGGGGGATGAGTGACTCACGAAGCGGCCTTGTGCCACATAAATGAACTAGAATACCTTAAGGTCCAAGACTACTCGCTACTCGCTGAAAAACTGATGTTGCGCAAGTACTATGTGAAATTAAAAAACACGTTTTTCAATCAAAGAAGCAAGAATAAGTAACGGACTACTTTCACAAAGTGTAAAAATAAAAGTGTATACTGAAAATTTTAAATTAAAGCTTTAGGAAAAACAAAAGTTTTATTTTTTGCTTTTATTTGACTTTTTTAACCAGTTAGTAGCTTATTCGCGATTTTCGTTATCCTCCGCACAACCCATGCCAATCATTTCCGTTAATCCGAGCGGTAAACGGGAGTTGACTGTATGTTGATACTTACATTAAAGGGAGGTGTTATTTGCGTTCCTATTTTAATGTTTGCTTCCAATAAATTTAATAGTTTCACCAATTGTTCTACGTTAATTTTATTTGTATTGCCAATATGGTTAAGTCCAGCTGCTTCTTTATATAGCGTCATTAACATTTGGTTATCTGAAAGATATTTTAAAAATTCTAACCGAAAGCTAAGCTATATCTATTAATATTCTATAAAGCAGACACGGACAGTGGCATAAATTTTGTAAAACATGCAGCCTAATAAAGCTAAAGCTAGAGCATAATATAGAATTATTATTGATTTTTATATTATACATTCATATTTGTGACAAAGAAAAAAATATAACCGTAAAGCAAGAGATAGAACACATAAAAGAACAAGCATTAGAGAAGGCAATAAGGATGGTTAAACTAGGTAAAGCAGCGGGGTAGGATAATATCACTTCAGAAATGATAAGATGCATAGGAAGAGAAACAGATTAATTGCAGAAATAAATTAACGATATAATGAACAAAGCGAAAATACCACAGAACTTTAAAACAGACATATTACCAACTATCTGGACATAACCATATCAAATATATTGTCACCATAAGAAAGTTAGGGTCTTCATACAGAATTAACCCCATATCAGTTCCTTAGGTGGTCTACAGAGACTACAATTTGGTGGGTTAGGTAATTTCTTACAAATAAAACGCAATTTGGTAGCAGAAAGATTAAAGCAAAAGAGTTTAAGGACGAGTGGGGAGCAAAGTCCCGTGAAGGAGCTTCCAGAGTATAGGAGACCCTATACGGGAGCCTGGGCAGGGCTACACTTGACTTTTCATGGTTTTGTATTGATATGTGCATTTCTAAGTCCATTGGCTAATCGTAAGTTAAACAGAAGATAAAAATGCTGGGCGATGCAGATCGACGTGCTCATTGGTTCACAGACCAAGGCATGCGATGACAATAACAAGAAAAGTATTTGCAAGAATGGTACAGAAAAGAATAAGGGCTAAAATAGATCCAACAGAAGCACGCAAAACCTCATATTCATAATAAGACAAATAAGAATAAATAAGAATAAAGAGATACCTATATGCTACATAGAGAAGGCATTTGACGTAATTCGAAGAAAGGACGTATGGAAAACATTAACAGAAAGAATAGTGAATAGTAACGAAATAGCAATTATAAAAGATATGCTTGAAATTAATGAAACATAATAAAAACAAACAATAATGAATCCACGGAATTCACAATACACCAAGGTTTCAAACAAGAGTGCGTGCTCTTCTCAGTAGTGCTAGTTGAAGTAGTGAAAAAAGCCAAAGAAAAAATGAGAAAACTACCTCTAGAATACTGCAAAATAAAAAGAACACAACTATTAGATCTACTAGGCAGGACATGTTGGTAAAGGGTATTAATATTGGTATGACCCAAGATAGTAAAGCAAATGGTTAACACGTATTACATATTAATCTTTAATGATTTGAGTAGTTCTTGTTGTAACGAGGTCCACACTCTATATCTAAGTTATCGACTCTACTGAAATCAACTCAAAACTCAGAACTGTCCTAAATTCATCATTTACCTTTTTTATAAACGTTCATTGCAATTTTTTGCAAATAGGCAAACTGAGATATTTGTTACAGTTATTCGTTAAACTTGACCTACTACATACGCCCCCAATAACGCAATGAAGAATACGACTAACATTATTATAAATACGTTACATTAATATAACACAGACTTGATGCCAGATAACATTAAAAATCTTCAGAAAAATCCAGAAATATTAAATGAGGAACTATCAAAGATAAACATGACAATTAACGCAGATAAAACAAAAACAATGGTAACAGCTAAAACAAAAAAGATACATGACGTAAGATTGAATAATTTTGCAGCTGCAACAAGTAAATCACTTAAAATACTTAGAAGCAATCATAGAAGAAAACTGAAAACAGGACCACAAAATAAACGAAAAATTGGAAAGAACTGGAAACATATTTAATACAGTAAAATGACAACATTTCTTGGGTACAGATAGATACCAAGTGAAATGAAACCGGTAGTCGTTAAAACAGTAGTAAGGCCTACAAGTATGTACAGTAGCGAGACCTGAACACTAACAGAGACGAAAACTAATTTTCCCCATAGAAATGAATTTTCTGAGAAAAATAAAAAATAGGAAAAAAATAGACAAAATTAGAAACGAAACAATTAGACAAAACCCACAACTAGAAACCATAAAGGTAAAATCGTAGAACAACAGCTTAGATGGTACGGGTATGTGTGTCGAATGTCGGACGAAAGACAAAACAGGTGTTTACAACACGCGTGCAAAGAAAACACAGAAGAGGAAGACCAAGGGCTAGATTGGATAAAGGATGTCAGACAAGAAGTTTTGAAGAGGGACTTAGTAACGAAAGAAGCACGAAATCAACACATATCAGGAAAAGGTGAAGACAAGTATGCAGGACTCAATCCAAACCGCCTGACACCTAAAGGTAGAAAAGCTTAGGACTAAGTTAAAGATAATAACTATACATTTTACCCAGAGACTGGGGACCTAGAAACTGACACTAGAGATTTTGAAGCGAAGGCTAAACAGTATGCACTGATTGTTAATAAGCAAAACACAAAGTATAAAAAATGAGACAGACATAACTGAAGGCTACCACAAATAACGGGAGTAAAGAGTATTGCTTCAAAAAAGTTTGATTATCTAGGAGCAACCCTAACAAGTAAAGGGGAAGAAAGCCAAGAACTTGAGAAGCAAACTTCAAAAGACAGGAAGATGGTTGGAGCTCTTCACAAACTACTAAGTGAAAAAAACATCTCCAAAGAGGCAAAATTGAGACTATACTGAAAAGTGATACAACCGACAATATTGTACAGATGGGAAACATGGGTTAAAGATATTTAGGGGAGTAAAAGACTATAAAGAAATTTGAAGAAACAAATGCAGATATCGGAAAGCTGTACAGGAACATAAAAGTTAGCCAGATCGTCAGGAAAATTTAGATAGTTAGTCTATCTTGCGAGAATAGCAGAAGGAGGGTGGGCAAAGGAGTCGCTACTGAGATAGGAAGGAGAGACGAGAAGAGGGCGACCACGAAAAAAGTGACTAGAAGTGTGTAAAAAGGACCTACAATCAATCAAGAGAACAACTTGGAGAACTGCTATGATATATATATATATATAAATATATATAATATTAAGTATATATATACATACAACGTTATATATATATATAATTACAAAACAACGTGAAAGGTAACTATCTTTAGAGGAACATGAAGCTTAAGTTAATTTATATTATAAATTTACACAAGGATTGAATAAAGCTAAGGATTTTGGATAAAGGATAAAACTTTTTGGGCTAAGATGTAATAATTATAAAGTTAGTCTCGACAGAAACTATATGTATATAATATTTTATTGACTTACCAATCTCTGCAGTACCATTACTTGTACTAACCACAAAATCTATATGCTTGTTAAAACTTTCACAAATATTTGCCTTTATCGTTTGTTTTTGTGGCCGTAAATCTAAGTTTTGTTCTTTTATTTGTTGCAGAGAACTAAAAATATCTATTTTCTCAGTCTTCTTTTTTGTATCTATTTTTGTTTTTGGTATGTCAGATATTTTCTGCTTCTTAATTCCAGCTAAAGCTGGAAATTTACCTGATCCGTTTTGTAGATGGATAACCATTTCTTTAGCAGATCTTTTTGTTCCTCTAGTTTTTTGCCTAAAAAAATAGAGCATCATTTCTAACCTTAGAAAAACAATTCATGCCATAACAGCTTAAGTCAAGTATACTATACAGATTACAAATCAGTAATGTTTTCCAAAAGTGCTTTAGTCATGCATTGTACTTTCCCATGCAGGCTTAAATCAGCTGTTGAGTGTTTGCGCATGCGCGATTCCAGCCTGCAGCATCTATTTGCTGTGAGTTTTTGGTTATGTTGACTGTTTAAGGTGAAACAAGTGTAAATAATCGAAAAGTGTGTTGTAAGTATAAAATGAGTTTAGATTTTGTAACAAGTGATTTTTCAGTATCTGTAAACGACATTAATAATACCAAGAAGAGGAACAAAAAGAAGGAGGAGGAAAATGAAAACCCGTGGGACAAGAATCTCAAGAAATTCGAAAGAAATAGTACAGAAGCTCATCCAGATCCTCGCATTGTTTGTGCTCATAAAGGGATGTTTGTAAGGCATATTTTATGACTCCTAATGATGTAAGTAGCTTTTATGGTAAAATCTACTCACATAAGACTACTGCTGATCAGAACAACTTCGTATTTAAATACTTTCTTAATCAAGAGTCTAAGCAACACAGGCCTAGAAATAAAACAAATCAACGATCTCGAACAATTACAAAATATCAATATAAGGTTGAATGTTCGAATAATTAAACTTTGAGGGTGTACAAGGCAACTATCGAACACGGTGATTAATTTAATCTTGCCCAAGTACTTTCGATCAATAGATCATCTTCAGGGGCATTTCGTCAATTGTGGCCTATCCGACATAGTAGAATGTCATAAATGTAAAATCTGGACATAACAATACAAAATACACTACACTAAGACAAACAAACACTTTAAAATTTATATGGAGAAGCTACATATTGTGAAGAATGCACATATTCTGTCTCCGGCTTCTTCACAATATGTAGCTTCTCCATATAAATTTTAAAGTGTTTGTTTGTCTTAGTGTAGTGTATTTTGTATTGTTATGTCCAGATTTTACATTTATGACATTCTACTATGTCGGATAGGCCACAATTGACGAAATGCCCCTGAAGATGATCTATTGATCGAAAGTACTTGGGCAAGATTAAATTAATCACCGTGTTCGATAGTTGCCTTGTACACCCTCAAAGTTTAGTTACAAAATACTTCATACGGCAGAAAAATGATGTTTTATTAAGAGTGTGTAATTTCACATTACTGTCCATTACACAATTTTCATCAAAAAGAGTGAATCGATTAGCCAGAGCTTTAAAAGAGTCAGAAGAATGTCATCGTGAAAAGCGAGGTGGAGCTAGGATAAAAACCCGAAGATTCAAGTACAGCTCATGTAATGATTGATTTCATAAAATCATTAAAGTGCTGTGAAAGTCATTATGGTCAGGGTAAGAGCGTCGGCGGCTAACCTAGCCCTGAGTTATTCATTAAAAAATTGTGGCGTATTTGGAATCAGACTCAAAATGAACAGAAGAAGTCACTTCCATCTTACTTAAAGTTCTTTAAGATCTTGCAGACGAAATGCAATCTAAGTTTTGGCTGTCTAAAGACAGACGTTTGTTCATTTTGTATTCTAACATGAAGTGAAATAACTTTATGTAAAGACCTTCAAGAAAAAGGTTCCCTTATTACTAAGTACAGGTTGCACAACTAGCTACTAGATAGGAAATTTAAAGAACTCACAGGGGGACTAAGACGAAGGCAGAAAGGAAATATAATTAATTCTGGCGGAAACATTATCTTGGACAAACAGAGTAAAATAAGAACGTGAAAAGAATATCTAGAAAAACTATTTGAAGACCAAAGAGATAACACCTTTGAGCTAGAAGAAGAGGTAAATGATGGACCAAGAATATTACAGCAGGAAGTTTATTCCGCAATAACACAGTTAAAGGATGACAAAGCGGCAGGCCCTGATAATAAACTAGCAGAACTACTAAAACTAATAGACAACAAACATAATAGCAATAATTGCAAAGATATTTTTTTTTATTGGCTTTGGCTTGAAACCTTTAGCCACGTAATTACATATAAATATTAGTATTCATTCATACAGGATTGTACAAGGAGGACACTTTTCACGCTCAGGGATTCATCAAAGCGGCTTTATTGTAACAAACAATACATAAACCACGGTTAGGTAGGTGGGCAACATATATGGTAAACATACAAAGGAAATGTTCAAGCATACGATCAATTTTACACTCATACCTTTAATTTAATTTTTACAAGAAATATCATAATTATTTTAAAGATTTTTATATTGTCTTCACTTAATAGGAGATTTACGTTTAATGGTGTACTTAATCCCTCTTTTATCAATTATTTTATCATCCACGTGCTTGTGTTACGATGTAGTGGGCAGTTGAAGAATATGTGATTTAAATCAGCTATACTAGTTCCACACTCACATCGGTCTGTTGGGAGAACTCCTATTTTGTGTAGATGTTTCGGAAAACATCCATGATCTACTTTTAATCTTAAGACAGTTGACACTGTGTTTCTGTTTAATGTAACATCTTTGTAAAATTGTTTTACATCTACTGTGGGTTGTAATTTGTATAAATTAGTGCCCCTGCTTTCACCAAACTGAATCCATTGTCTGTCCCATTTAAATTTAATATGCTGTTTGATATAGGCAAGTAGGTCACATGTGTTAAATTCTTCTATCACCATATGTGGGTGCTGTAATGGATTTTTAGCTATAGAATCAGCAATAGTATTGCCAACAATATCTGAGTGTCCCTTGACCCATAGAAATTTAGTACCATATGGATCTGATAGTTTTAGTAACTGTTGAAAAATTTCTAATATGAATATATTGCTATTGATTGTGAATTTAAAGTTTTGTAAGGAGTGTAATACTGACAGTGAATCACTGCATATGACAATTTTGTTCCACTGGTTTTCACAGCACAATTCAAGGGCTTTGTATATAGCACACGCTTCATCAGAAAAAATGCTGGATTGATTATTTATGATAAATGATTTTTTAATCTTCATTTTTGGTACAAAGTAAGCACTGGTTGTACATGTTGGTGATTTTGACCCGTCTGTATAGATCACAATATGATCTGAATAGCCACTTAAGATTTCTTTAAGAGTAGTGTAGCAAAATGCGTTTTGGTATTTTGGGATAATAATATTTGTAGCTAGAACACTTGTTAGATGTGGTATATCCAACGATTCCCAGATAAGATAACAAGGGTAATTTATTAACTTCAGTTCGTTGCAAGTTATAATTGCTCTTGCAAGTGGTGGAGAATTTTTTCTATAACACCTTTGAGCAAAGATATTTAACAACATATACAACTCTGGAGAAATACCAACAAAATGGCCGAAATTTGAGTTTATTGCACTTCTAAAAAACCAGTAGCCAAATAATGCGAAGATTACCGGACTATAAGCCTAATGAGTCATCTCCTAAAATTGTTCCTAACGATAATTCATAAGAGAATGTACAAGCTGTATGAAAGTCAAATTTCCTCTAACCAGTTCGGGTTCACAAATGCTGTGGTACTAGAGAGGCTTTGTTCTCAGTACAAGTCTTATTCCAGAAATGCAGAGACGTCAACTGCGACATATACGCATGTCTGGTTGTTTACGAGAAAGCGTGTAATCGAGTACAGCACGCCAAGATGATGCAAATACTAAAAGAAACAGGAATTAACAACCAAGATCTGAAAATAATTAGAAATCTTTACTGGAATCAGACAGCCAATCTCAAAGTTGAAGGTGAACACACTGACTATGTGAAAATCATGCGTGGAGTGAGGCAAGGCTGTATTACTCTGAAAGAATATTTATCGAAGCTTTGCACGAAACTGAAAAAGGTTACCGGCTAAACAACATCAGATATGCAGATGACACCATAGTATTTGCGGACAACTTAGAAGACCTACAAGTTCTTATGAACAAAATCATGCATTACAGTCAAACATGGACCCAACATAAACGTTAAGAAGACAAAGCTTATGACAACTAGCAAGAAAAGGATATCAGAAGGGCAACTACACGTCAATCAATCCACTGTAGAAAGAATGACGCACTACAACTACCTCACCACCATAATAAATGAAGAATGCACCAACAACCAGGAGATTAGAGCACGCATCGAAAAAGTTAGATCCACCTTTAAATCGGATGGGAGCCTTCTTCAAGAGTCACAACCTCTCCCTTAATACAAAAGTTAGAATGCTGCGATGATACGTATTCTCTGTCCTTTTTATAATGTTAAATTGTGGATCTTGAACGAAGATATGTGCAGAAAATAAGAACCGAAAGGTACTGACCACCATCCAATCTGGAAAAATCAATTCTTCAGACATATTATGCGAAATGAATCCAAATATGCTCTCCTCAAGCCATCCTGCAAGGAAAAATATTTGGAAAGCGAGGTCCAAGAAGAAGAACATCTTGGTTAAAGAACCTCAGAATCTGGTTCAATACAATTGTGCAGCTTTTCCGCGCTGCTGCAGATAAGATAAAGATTGCCATGATGATCGCCAACATTCGTAACGGATAGGCACATCGAGAAGAAGAAGACCTTATACGGGTGTTTCTCAAAATTTATTATACGCCATAATAACAGGTAAAACTTGCAAGGTAAAATATGTCACGGATCTGAGTGTATTTCACAATATTTACTCTTTTAAAAACTACACGATTATTTTAAAAACTAATTGAATTAAATTTAAAAAATTAGTAAAAGTATCCAAATTTTAATCCGCTCTAAAAAAAAATGTAAACTAATGTTTGATTGAAAATTGAAAACTAATTGAACAAATCGTAAGTGGGTCAAAAAGGATAAAAGGAACGCTTCAACGGTGCCTCCAATACATATTGCCAAAGTTACATATAATCAAAATTTGTAAATTAATCGCCAAGTTTACAAAAATAATTGCAAACCTACAATTTTTTTATGAACGTTAGGTAATTCATTAAAAAAAAATAATTATGTGAAGTTAAAAATGTATTCATTAATAATTGAAATAGTA